CAGCCCTGGCGTCATGTGTAGGAGTTCCTTGTTGATTCAATAGTCTAAGTCCTTTCGAGGCTGTCCAGGAGAGTAAAGGGTCACCTTCCACACTGTCACTCCTAGCTTTCGGATCCCAGGACGAATGGTGGATGTTAAAGTCTCCCGCAAGAATATCCGGATTACCTGTGGTAGTCACTAGGTGCTGAAGACCCTCCCGGGAGCCAATTGCTCCGGTTGGGGCGTTGTAGACATTCCATCATTCAACAATTTTTTTGTGAACCATGAAATCCGGACTCGCAGAAGATCCCGGTAATGTATGGCCGGCTGAAAAGGAGATAGTCCTTGACCCTTGCGGATATACGTCATTACTCGATGCCGGACCGTCCAGTTGGGAAGAGGAGAGAAGCCTTGGAAGCTTGGGTGGGTTTTTGTTATTCTATGAGTTAGGTCTGTGGATACCCAGGGTTCTTGGATTAGTACCACATCAGCCCCACATTTGGAGGCAAGTTCTAGGGCGGCATCGTGAGTAGGGCCACGTCTACCTACATTGATCTGGAAGAAGCAGAGACCTGTAGTCTTCTGCCTTCTTCGACCCCGGTTTCGGTCCCTCATTGTTCCTCCTCAAGGGAAATCAGGGGATCAAACCTAGATGCCGAGCCTACTGTTAGAACAAGAGCTGGAATATTGGTGCACGAGGGTTGTGCCAATGGAGACCCAGTGAGGGGGTCAGAAGGGGGCGGGGGGGATTAAGAGCGAGCCAGGAATTATGTCCCTCCTGGCACATAATCCGTATTTTCTCCTTGTCAGGGCGAGCGAATACTCTGTTAGCTCGAAAAGGCCGAGCTGGGCATCCGGAAGCTGAGGCAGCATGAGGGCCTGCACAATTCAGACACTTGGTGGGAGTCGCGCACGGTCCATGATGGAAGTCTGACGCGCAATTTCCGCAACGAGCTTTACGAGTGCAGGCGTTAATATTGTAAAACCTGTGGCAGTGCGGGCAGACATGTAGGCGTGGGCAATTGTCGGCCGGACGAATTTTAGCGGACCGAGCAAATAAGCGGACGCTGGAAGGGAGCTTATCTGCAGCTGGCTTTACAACTACTTGTCTGAGAGTCCCTTCTCAGTAAGGCGATGCAAGTGAATTTCGTGTCCAACTAATAGAGAAAATCGATTTTGTTTCGATTTTCGCCGCTGCAAGTTCTTCCCGGATGTTAGCATCAGAGAGAGCTTCAGGAGATCCAGAAGCGTTGTACCCGTATTTGGGTACTGGGCTGAGGAGGAAATTCTCTCGTTTTTCTTGACTCTCGATTGGTACAACTCCTGTGGCGGGTTGTAAAGCAATGGCTGTTTGTATGAGACCAGGAATTTGATCAGATGAGGGGGCCACGAGGGCTATTTCAGAAGGAACCGACCTGATGTCTTTGATCAATTCTGGTTTTTCGAGCAGGCTTCTCAGCTTTGTACGGACCAGAAGAGAGTCTTGATATCGCAAAGGATAGTCAGGCGCTAGGCGTATCATAACTCTTGGGTCTGGCCTTTGCTTTTTGGTCGAGGGGGTTGGCCCTGGGTACAGCCTTTGGAGGTTGTATCTATACGGCCAGGATTTTCTTAGCAGCATTTGCGTACGAAGAAAATTTGGGTGGTTCATTTGTTGGGCTTGGCTGCGCACTAACTTTTAAGTTATGAGTAGTTTGGGGAGGTTCAAAGACAGGAAGACCTGCAATAACTCGAGCTATGCTTCGCGTCACAATAGCCTTAAGGTCCGCTGCAATTTTAGGCGGAAGGGCCCGTAGGTGTTGGGCTCCAGCATTTTGCCAGGCCAACAATAAAGCAGCTATGTCATTTGTCATAGCTGCCGAGGGGCGTTCAATAATCCTTAAAGTTGTACGCGGGCCGGGTTGGGGAGGACTTGGGTAGAGTTCTTGCTCGTTTGCGATGTCTTTAGTCGATGTTACGACTGACCTGAAGATGATACGGGTCTCTAAGAAGAAGTTGTATTTGGACATTAGGCTACAATACGTAGGTAGGAGAAAAGACAAAGAGAAAGGAAGTGCTGGGAGCTACGAGCTTGAGATAAGCTCGACCGCGGCTCCACTTTAGTCCGGCCTGCATCCCCGTTATACATTATCATGTGATCCCGGATTCTTCCACCAGTCTACCTCCAAGTGCCCTAGCAAGTCCAACCATAACAGTCGACGCGTGAATCGAGCTAGAGAGACCCTGACTAGAATTTCTTTTCAGAATCTTTTGCAGGGAGGGCCTTTGTACGGCTGTTGTCAGTGCGGGGACTGAAGTTTCACGGATCCGTAAATAGAATTTTAATACTAATATTAATTCGTGATAAGATGAAGGGGTAGTTAATTAAAACCATCAATTTAATAATAGCTTCCTCTATACAATTAGTCATGTAAAACGTCATGTAAGGATATACAAGGGAGTCATGAAGAGAAGGACAAGAACACAGCTATCAATGCAAAGATATTGGCAAGAATTGATTACGATTAATTCCGGCTGGCAAATGCTTCTACTCTTGTATATAATAGTTCAGCGTGAGAGAGATTTACTCCTCACGCAACGTCTTCTTTATCTACCATTTACAATACATTTGTTTACCCATCTCTTCTTCGGGAAGACCACATATCCATTGCCCAGTTCTTCATCAGCAAGACCCACGTGTAACACCTACTGCAACTAGTTGCCCATTCATTTCTTCCTAGAGAAGACCTGTCATTCCTTTGACCTATTTACAACCTTCACTTACCACCTAGATCTTTACTAGGCTATACAACGCACCCCGTGGAACACTATCAAACCCTCATCCCTGAGAGAAGTGAGAGTAGGTGATAAATTTTCCGGGACAGGGTAGGGAAGAAGTTTGTTTTGAAGCCCTAGGTCCATAAACTCATCTTCTAAGCCATGTCAATGGGTTCGGGTGGAGGTAATTGTTTCTCAGCTTCGACTGCTAAGATGACTTCCTCCTGGATGTTTGTAAGAGGTCGGCGAGGCCTCGCACGTTTCGCAGCACGCGGGGCAGTTCGATCGGGGATACGAGAATTGTAGGGTTTTTACGCCTCCTGTGGGGCATCTTATTGTCCTGTAACAATCAAGGGTCTGGAAATTGATTTAGAAGATAGGCAAATATGGCTGAGTTTGTTGTTTAAAGGGGAGGTAGTGTCACAGGGGCATCTAGTTAGGGCGTAATCATGTGAGCAATATGGCGTAACTCTAAGCGAGGATACTTAGACTTAGATGTCTGCTTGCAGATTAGTTTCGTTCTTTGTGCAACTACAATTATCTGTTCTGAACATCCGAGTATATATACAACGCCAGCCCGTGATAGTATCAACATGAGTTAAGATTTTAAGCTTTATTTTTACGGATCAAATACAAGAGAGAAATCTTAACCCAAAGGACCGAGCTAAGATTAAACATAACTTGAAACAAACATTAGCCTATTCATGTTTATATTAATCCTTGGCTTCATCGCTTCTATCTTGATCTTTATTACACTGACACCGAAGACTTGTGCAATTAGCTTTGGGTATCACAAATTCTTTTCTCCTGCGGGTGTTCATATTGTCGTAGTTGCGCAGATTGAGGCCAGCCGAGATCAGAGTCTGAAACAACAAGAGATACCTGTTGAAGCTTTGTAGTTTAGTGATAGAGGCAAGAGTGAGGTTTATGGGTCACGATGTATGAGATAACTAAGGTGTGGATGTATGAGTTCCTTACTATTGTTGTTGCACTAGTTAGGGTTGTATTGTCTGTATACATGTTGCCGGATCAATTGGTGTTGGTATACTGCAGGGCAAGTCCAGAATAAAATCAGTTAATTAACGAAATCTAAAGCCGGAAGGTCTCCTACATCTGGCTATTTACATAAGGGATTTTAATTAACGACGCTGATCATAACAGTCTCCGTTGCTTAGCGACCGTTTCCAATCTCCACCCTTGGTAGTCTCTATAGCTGACCAGACCCTAGATTCTATCTCTACCATACTGGCGCAGACAGTATACACACAAGGGAGTATTCCCGTAACAATACAAAAGGGATTTCTCTATCTACAAGTGGGCTAGATTGCTTATATCTGGCTAGCGGCTTTTGCCATCCCTTTCCTTCTCCCCCGCATGGCATCACGTGCTACACAACTACAGCTCACCATGGAGTCCGAGGATGAAAAGCGTCAGATTACAACAATACCATCATTAAATTTAATATGTGTTAGAACATACTTGTAGATGCGAAAAGGCTTTGTTCGGAACTGATCTAAATAGAGGCCATGAACAATTTCCATGTGGACCAGCTTATTGGTTGTTGAGGGATTTCGTAGAAATCAGCTTATGAAAGATATTTCACCCTCTGGTTTGTGGAAGACACCAGTGACATAGTTACAGTCTTCTTTCTCCTTCTAGCTTTATCATTGATAGGTAAACATCAGTGAATATTTAAGCCCATTTACTTGTGTCGCTTCTGAGCATGTAATTCACACACTTTGTCATTTAACGAATCAGATCAAATTATTATCAAGAAAAGGCATATGGAAAACAACAATTAATTGATTTTCATGGTGGATAAATCACAACTATTGAGGTGTTTCAAAGATAAGTATATTAACAAACTAATTGAAACAGAGCCCAGTAGTACGTTTTGGAGGAAGGAAATTTTTGAACTGTATTTTTCTATATAAGGTTTGTACTTGACAAGTTTGCAGGGCATTGATTTTTGTGAGACGACACATACTCGAATCCTTCTTGTGCCTCAAGCTTACTAGACGACCAAGGCCTTGGCCAATACTTTTTTGGTCTAAGAAATACTGTACTGTGCTATCTACATGATATTACAGTCATTTGAATGAATCTGAGTTCTACAACCCATAAATTAAGAAGTGAGAGAAAGCATCTGAGATATTAGATCCAACATGGTGAAAATGGTTTGAAGTTTATCACTTGAACATCAAGCCTGTGAAGGCACTATAGCCTATATGGACTTAAATTTTGATAGATGTGTCTCCATCAAATTACTCATTAGCTTCTGGACAAGAACATCCACTTTCGTCATTACAATCAAGGCAACTTGAAGCGGACACATTTAAATCCGGAAATGATGTCACGCTTGCCTTGTCGGGCCGTCTCTGTACGAAATATTTGGCACATTTTATGTGTTTTCTATGCTTGACATAATATACACCGAGAAAATCGAAATCCCGATTAAATACTAAAACGTTGCTGGAGACAGACGCGGCAGCTTGAAAGTCAGTAAACTTCATGGGAAATTGAAACATGCACCATACCTTTTTTTGCACCCGTGTGATTGCGTAATGGCCATTGCCATCTACCTGAAGGGCATTCATTTTTGGATATCATGATCTGACTAGGATAATTAAATCTTCTAATTTTTGTCAAGCGATAATGTTTGTGAGCATCCGTAGCCATTTGTAAGTTTTTTAAGATGTAGTAGCCTTTGAAGATCTGACCGTCACAGTTGTATCTTACAGCGTTTTCTTGGTCAACAGTTTCTGGTATAGGCAATGATTTCAAACGAGTTGTGTGAGGCACGAGCCCTAATTTTATGGGTTGACACTCCAGCTCATCATGTCCTCTGAGTTCTCGGATACCTACCAATTGACCTGTTTCCGTGAGCAAGAGGAAAAATCTCGATGCACCGTAAAAGAATGCTATTTTTAAATGTTAACGCAATTCAAAACCATCGATTATCATTTCACCCACAGCCGGGTTTGTAAATATTCTGACTTGCGAAAATTGGCCATGCTAACACGCTTCGTCTGTTTTTCAATATGTATTCACGAGGGTAGTCCTCAGTTCTCCGCTTCTTTTTTTCAGATGCTATTGTTATGGACCGTTTGATGTAGTCGTCGCTAAATACAGCCCCGGTACAATTATAGCCTTCGAAAAAGTTCGAATCAGTGCCAGTGTCACTATTTCCTGTAGGATATGAAAGCTCGAGGCAAGGTTTGGGGTGTTTGTTATTTTTGTATATCACAACCCCAAAAAACCTGCAGTCCATGTCGATAACAACACGACTATTTCCTGTGTGGCCTATACCATAATATTTTCAGGTAAAATTCGACTGGGTATCTAGAGGAAGGGAAAAATAAATTAACCAAGACTTACCCTTAGCATATTGATTATTCTTGTATCTAAGAAGCCCTGTGATAAGAGAATCTGAAATACTTCCAAATATACCAGTATCTTCCAGCCTTGCGGGGTATCTACTACTGGGGCTTGCGTTTGGAAACTCCTTGCAAGCCGTCTTTATATTTTCTTCTAGAATTTTTGCGCTGAAATATGAACCAGCACAAATGAAATCATTCAATACCTCTTGAGGATTACTGTCACTCGGAAAGGCATGAATTACGGGGCCTGAATGAAGACACCAAAATATGCTGAATAACACTCCAATGCCATCGAACATTTTGTTTCCCTTCATTGAAGATTTTATATCCGAATCAGTCGCAAGTATTAGTCTGACAAACAACTTTTGCCATAAGACAAATCCTTTAATGCAGTCAGGATTAAATACATACGTGTTTAGTTATTTCCAGCTTGAATTGTAATTAGTCCGGTTTGACCGTGGTAAGGCTCAAGTACACTCCTGAGCGGTGTTTAGAGCGTAGAGAAGAAATGTTCTATGTTATCATATATTTAGCATTTGAGCAACATTGCGCCATACGGATATTAAGCCGGGAGATATGCGAAACAGCAAAGTAAAATCGTCAAGAAGGGAAGCCAAGCCAGATGGTTTTGTAGGATAACCATTGGCAGTGGCGAAGCAATATGTCATGCACAACAGAGTATGAGCTGGGTGGGCCAGAAGGGTGTATAAATAGCATTTACCAGCAGCTATATTACTAGTCTCTCAATTTAGTCTATTCTTTTTTAACAATATCTTGTCCAGCTTGGTTTTATTACAGTCTTAATCTTACTAATTTTAGCAAGAATTGGGCCTTGGCTCTAAAACAAATCTCTTTCTGTGTTCATTGCGAGGCTGTCTATGTGAGAGACTATCTCTTTGCATGAAAATAAATGTTACTCTCTACTCATGAGTATTAGTGGGGTTTAAGCACTATTAATTGTGATTTGAGATTTAATCATCACTCTCCGCTCCCTGAGTAAGCCTTTCTAGTAGTCCTCTTTTGCACCTTTTCAAGTCGAATTCTTGATCATTAGAAGAGTAAAATGATAACAATCCGAGAAGATTAGCAACACGGACGTTGCCTTATACAACGTCGGATAAGCAGGATAAATCGGTAGCTGAAGTACCTTATTCAGCTGGAGGAAGAGGGCTGGATATCCGTCAGTCGTGTCCATTACGAACCTGGGAGTGAAGTATTCTCCCGGAGCAGAGATTAAGTCAAGACCAAGGATGAATTAAGAGAATCCATCGACATGGCGACCGGGAGGAGTGCTGTTAACAATTTTTTGGTCGAAAATCCGACCTGCAGAGACTTCGCGACCTAACAAATTCAATCAATTACACTCCAGTTAGGTTGGATGGTGCAGTGATACACCTTTCGAGGCGTTCTCTCAAGTAGATTCTGGGTAGCTTGAACACCTACCTCATTTGAGACAGGAGATAGCTGGTTCGAATCAAGTAGAACCTACGCACCACACTCTCACGGTGATATTGTGTGAGTGTTTTTATTGTGCTACCTAATTCATAGACTATCTAGCACATCAGGCTCCTCTCTGACTCAGTCCACACCTTGTACAGCGCTCCTATCCTCTTTTGTTACTTGAAAGATCATTGATATATTGCCCATGATGAATAGCCATTCAGCTCAGTGTTTACCCGTGGAGTTCGGCCACCTTTTCCACGGAGCCTTCTATCCAAAAATTACATAAAATAGAAACGGTAGCCACAGAAACTGCGTGCGCGGGAAAAAGTCTCAAAAAACCTGCAGCCCCAGCCAGGCGAGGCCTAGACATTGGGACCATATGAGATGCGCATATTCATCTATATCTCCCTTCTTTGTAACAGTCGAGGCAGACTTGATCCAATCCACCATCTCCGTCTAGGTCGCTGAATACGCTCCGGAAATTCATCGGATGGCTTTTCCTCCATGATCAAGGGCGGGTGATGAGAAAGGCCATGACCCTACCATCTGATCTGATCTTGGCTAGCTTCATGATAATGCTGATAGGGGAATGTATTGGGAGATGAAGACGATACAGACGGCGAAAGTGATTGGGAATCCTCATCGAAGTGAGGACCTTGTTACTCAATCTCGGATCTGCAGACTTCAGTCAGAGCTAGAGGTTCGTAGGGGACACCACTGACAGGTGTTGAGAATAGTCCCCCACGGTGATATTGTGTTTGTGGGATGACGAAAACACACTCGGATAACCACAGGTTTTCACGCTTTTTCCTGTGGTGGTTATGCACGGAAGAGCTTATACACCGTAAGGGTTAATCTCGGGTGGTATCTGCAAATGAAATCTGAGTGTGAGTTTTCTAAATGTCAAATTGAGTCTTCCTACTAAAACTACATATCTTTCCATAATAACCAGCATGGGTCTTAAGGCGCAAAATCAGGAAATTTAAATATTTATGTTATTTTTTGCCCCCCCGGATATGAACTGTAGACAGCCTCACACCCGTCTGAGGTTTGCATTAAAACTATCGACAATCTTCGCATCCTCAAATTTTCTTGGAAGATCTCTTCGACCTAAACTCATCTCGCGACCTATCGAAACACCACAAGATTCAAAATTCAAACTAAAATCTTAACAACAAGTGGATGTTCATTCCGCCGCAGTTGTCGTGCGCTATAAAAACACTGTTGAAGTTCCGGCCTCATATTTGTCCAACCTCCGATAAGGGCACAAAAAAATCTACCTGCGACTAAGCGCCACTAATGAAATACGTAGAACGTTTCTCCAGCATATCAACTAGAGCATTCGACAAAGGCTGAAGCATAGGCGCCTCGGTCTTTAGCTCTTCTAACCATATTCGGTCTCCACAATTAAGTGTACGGCAGCGACAGGCAAAGTTGGAGTGATGGAAAGTCTACTAAGTTTCTGAGATGGAAATGTCGATATAAAGGTCAATGACAGCTATAATGAATGAAGAATAAGGAAGAACCCCCGAGGAGGCCTCGGTTGGCGACTGGATGAGATCCCTAGTGAATAGAACAACCCCTAAATGAGATAAGGAGATCCTTGAATGAGACTTGGTTAGGAGTGATCAGAGAGGACAAATTAGGGGTGAGAGGGGTAAGAGGGCTCAGTCGCATGGTGGTTGAGGATAAGGAGGAGATTGCGCTTCAACGTGTTAAAATTGGGTTCTCCAGATAGTTTGATCTGACATGTTCAACAGATGGGTGAGATCAGAAGTGTCCCGCTTATTCAGGTGGGAAAAGATTAATATATCTATATGGTAGTTAACATGATTCATCCCGGCCCCACTCATGCTTAAGCTCCCGTAGGAGTGCGGAGGATGCTAATGGCCTTGAACGTTAACATAAAAACCAAGCATATCAAATCAGTTTGGGATCCTTTTCTCCCAGGTTATGGAGCAATCTTTTGTAAGTATCGTTGTAAAAAGCTCCCAATACATCAAGGCTGGCTAGGGATGCAACTCCTTTTTTTATCCCATATTGTATGGACTTGCTCTTCTAGAAGACCCACCGCCGAATTTGTAGACTTCGGTGCCCTGCCTTCCGAGGGCAAATGGTAGAGGAGAGATTTGGAGACGAGCCACGCATCGATCCTAAGAAGCCATGATTAATGATCCGGGAGACGATAAATAGGTACGCAGAGGATCCTAAATCATGGTGGATAGAGCATTTCTAGATGACAGTTTGCCAAAATGGTGTTGAGAGAAAGAAACTGGGCGAACAGGTTCTGTAGGGGTTGTTGTATAGGTTTATCCTCTACTGTAGGTATTACAGTTCGTAGACATCTGTATGAGCCCATGGGACCATAAATCAGGATAATAAAATCAAATTCTAATATCAGCTGGGAATGCCAAGATGAATCGCATCTGAGTTGAAGTCGAATGTAAACACTAGAATGTCTAAAATCGTTAACTTCTCATCAGTATCGGACCTAATTTTTCCACGCGGGTCCAATCTTAACACCTGTGACAAGTGTCCCCTGTGAATCTCTAGCTCTCAATGTAGAGTTTGTAGAGCCGAGATTGAGCAATACCTTCCTCACTTCCATGAGAATCTCCAATCGTTTTCGCGGTCTGTATCGTCTTCATCTTGTGGATTCCAATTGATGGAAACCCGACCGTGCATATTGTGCGCTGTTGATTGGCTCACATGGTGCGGGGGGAATATTTAAATAAATTGGCGATCCTGAACTTTTGCTTGGAATTTTGTTCATTAGCCTGATTTGGCGCCCAATGGGCCATGCAGGTAGCTATAAACCTATCTATATATTTACATGGGGGGAAACCTCTCGGTGAAAACCCCCCAAGCTTTCTGATTTAATTCTCAGAGTTTGCAATTTTTCCTTCGGGAAGCACAGTTACACTGTAACGCCGTCGATATGTACCAATCACGTCCCTTCTATCGACCCCAACCTTGTACATATTCCGTCTAGTTCCCTGAGCAGCACTTCGACTACATTTGTCATGCGGAATTGTTCTATCCAACCATGATTAAGAATCCATCGTGTGATTCTTTTCATATCGTTAGGATTGTTGGTAACTGCTTCAAAGGAGCGATTTTGGGCTTGTCTCCAAATTTCTCCTCTACCAATTGACCACTTAGGGCAGGACATGATCATGTGCTTGGGATTTTGTGATTGGTAGCCATACGGACAGCATGGATCGAAGGCTCCTGGTACTTTTCTTCTATGCAAATACGAATTGAGCCCGACATGCTCGCTTCGAATTTGGATTGCAAAGCTACTTTGGGCCCTCGTCAGGTTTTAGTGGAGAGAAAATGGTGACTCCCAGAAGCTTATTTTTGTACGTTCAGAATGGCGGCATTGGTAGAAAATTGCTGCTGCCCAAATTTTAGGATAAAAATAGGCGATCCTGTGCTTATTAATCAATACACGTATTTTTAGTCTCAAGCTCTACTCACATTATATTGTTGATTCGCCAAGACCAAGATTTCGGCTAATTAACCAGGAGGGCTTCTTTTGTCAATGAGTCAACGGCACTCCCCAGCGCCCTGGACGGCACAAAAGAAGTTGGGCTAAGCTACTATACAGCAATCACGCTCTGTCAAGACTTTTCTGATATTTCTGACATTAAAGCACGACCTTCGGGAAAGAGTTGGAAGGATGCTAGAAAGGCAGAAGGTGAATTCTCCGAGGTACACACAATTCTGCAGCGCCCAGCTGGCCGGCCTTTGCGGACGCTTCAGAAGGGGCACTATGTCTTCGGATTTAGTCCTAATGTCGGTAATAGGAGAGCTCTGCACTCGGTGGTTTTTGCGATTTTTCCCGGCTGCCATACACCCGCAATTGGCCATCAGTTCGTTGGCTGGAGAGGGGAGATAATGAATGGCAAAGGGCTCCTCTAAGTGTATGATCGAATGAGGACTTGTGAGGGGTGGTACTGTTTGAGGGGAGCTGTATGGGAGACGTAGGAGGGGATATACTACTGGCATAGGTATCCCTGGCCTGTAGGCAGAGAGGACCCACATATCCTACATTGTCAAAGACTCAGATAGGACAATAAAATGAACTAATAATAATAACTAATATTGTTCGCCTAGGTCTTAGATCGGGACAAAGAAATCGCTTGTTCAGACAACCAGAACGGTACATGACACGCCTACAAATAAGTGTGCGTCGAGTTCCGACAGCCGAAGGTCCTGGAAAGCTGTACTTCCCACGTGGCACCCCAGCACAGACTCCACGTAGTCGAGAAAAGAAGCTAGGTCTTCCAGCAAAAGCGATGGTTAGCTTCCCGTCCAGCTAACACGGTCTGCGCTTTCTCAGATGGATCATCATCGTCGGTTCCCGGAAATTCAGCCTGGGGGTATGTAGTATACCAAGGAGGCAAGCTAGTTGGAAGTGGTTCCGGTCCACTTCCCGGAGCAGAGGTATTCGACGCAGAAGTTGTAGGCGCCATAAAAGCCTTGAAGGCTGCAATAGAGGTAGGAGAAGACTTACTGATCTGCATTCTTCTGGACAACCAAGCGGCCACCTAGGCGCTCCAAAGAGGAAGATCTAACTCCTTGCAGTCAGTGTTGGACAAGTTTTCGTCGCTGAGACACAATAAGCGTGTGGAAATACGCTGGATACCCGATCATGTGGGAATTAAGGCAATGAAGAGGCCGATAAGCTGGTCAAATCAGCCTTAGGAGCTCCCAATAACCGATCACTAACCTCAGCTACGCCCAGTAAAGAAGATCAAGATCTAACATTTACGGAATTAGGGAGGTGGGTTAAATTGCGTAGCCAAGAGCTCGTGGAAGAGTGGTGGCAGAGATATCGACTAAAACGATACAAAGATCTGGACCTATTCTTGCGTTGCAAAAGACCACCGGAACTAGCTTTACCAAGATGGGCGTACCATCGTCTTATAGCGGCAAGAACAGGCCACGGGGACTACGCCGACTACCATCGACGTTTCAACCCCGAACATGAAGATCTGAAATGCGTTTGCGGCCGAGAGAAAGGCCCAGGCATTTTTCAGAGTGCCGACTAGCTTTGCTACGTTGGAGAATCAATGGTAAAACGGCCCACCTGGGGCCGGGAAAATGATAGGGGAGAAAGGATGGCAGAAGTTCATTTAATTCTTAACTACAAGCAGATGTTACAGTCTGCCGAAGAATGAACAGGGTGGGAGATGACCACGCTGAGACGAATTCCAACTCTGGAGGAGATGTGCTTGGAAGATGGGGATGCAGCGCAGGGCACTGTAACTCAGACATTTACTTTTTCTTTTGTCGCTTCTGGCTCTATTGCCGGTCATGTAGTTAGCAATGAGCTTTCAGAGCCCATATACCCGTGTCACGTCTAAATAGATGTTAGGTTCTTCCTGTTACGTAAAAGATTTCAAATTCAAATAACTTATATTGTTGATTAGTTGGAGCCACGAGACACCTGTGTGAAATCATTGTTATCATAAGCTGACCAACCAGAAGCAACAACCTCTCTACACATTCTCCTATCATCATTATCATGAAGCTAGCCAAGATCAGATCAGATGGTAGGGTCATGGCCTTTCTCTTCACCCGCCCTTGATCATGGAGGAAAAGCCATCCGATGAATTTCCGGAGCGTATTCAGCGACCGATACGGAGATGGTGGATTGAATCAAGTCTGCCTCGACTGTTACAAAGAAGGGAGACATAGGTGAATATGCGCATCTCATATGGTCCCGATGTCTAGGCCTCGCCTGGCTGGGACTGCAGGTTTTTTGAGACTTTTTCCCGCGCACGCAGTTTCCGTGGCTACCATTTCTATTTTATATTATTTTTGGATAGAAGGCTCCGTGGAAAAGGTGGCCGAACTCCACGGGTAAACACTGAGCTGAATGGCTATTCATCATGGGCAAAACGTCAATGATCTTTCAAGTGATATAGGAAGCAAGCAGCACTGTACAAGGTGTGGCCTGGGCCAGAGGGGAGCTCAATGTACTAGAAAGTCATAGACTCATGTAGTACATTAAAAAAAACACAAATTTCAGATCGTAGACACTTGCATAGGCGCACATGGCGACAAATTAGGATAATAAAATCAAATGATGATAGAATCTCTGGACTCCTTCGGATTGTATCCATTTACCAGGCAGGCAATGAAAAGTACAGTAAGTAGTTTGCTTTGGGTCTTCCCATATATCTTTAGGACTACGGTTGATATTTCGATGGTTAAACTTCCTATGACTTTCCTGATTATTTCTACAGTAATTGTACAAGAGATATTGTCAATTTCATTAGTACTATCTGTACATGAGATTTCGTGGAATTTTACCTGCGAAGGATGTGGAAGTATGTGATGAGCCATGATTCTTGTTTCTACCCCACCCTCTGTCGCCATGTTTGCTTCGACATTTTTAATGTCTGTTAAATTCTAGTGCAGCAGATCGATTGTTGTGTAGCAAGTTAATTACCAAAGGATAGTCTCTCATTATTACAATATCTAATGTCTCACGATGCTCGCCTAGCATACTAATCTCTACCTTCACGTAATGCTGACGACTTGGTCTGAAACTACCTATTTCAACAATTTCAAATTCCAAATTTGGCCTTTATATTCATGCCAGTGTTTTCTTAGCTCTTCTGGCTACATCTCGGATTTTGTTCGGATTGTCTGTTAGATCTGACATGAATGCCTTCAAGTCCACTGTTTTGGCTTTCTTGATTTTACATATTTTTCCTAACATGGGGAACTCATTAGTAAATACAGCTGTTAGCGGATTTCATTATGAAATGTATCATAACGACGATTAATGATACGGGTCAATTGAATCTCGCGGTGCGTCTGTGCATTACTCTATCGTAAAGATTTGATTGTAATGCAGTCATGTAATTTCCTTTACTACAACAATTTAAAGCGTGTTTAATGATGCGACTGGACTAATGATCTTTGTACGGTTCATGTGAAAATTTTTGATCACTTCCCTGTGGCTTGTATTGAGTGTTTACATCACAAATAGAACAAATTAGAAGAGATTATTTGAAAGATTGTAAAATCATACCCCACGCATGAAGAAGAGATTCTGCTGACATTTACTGTCTCATTTAAATCTTTAATTGAACACCATCTAGGGCGAGAAGAGTTGTGCAGATGGTTGAACTTGGTAGCTCATCCGCGGGACGATAGAACCATTGATGTTGATTAATACTAGTCACATCACAAGCGCTCTGGATCACCCAGTACGTCCTCGTTTCAATGACCACTCCTCTCGTCGACCTTCTCTGGCCTCAGTTGACCACCAAACACACGCCCACGCCGATATTTACACTCGACGGAGGAAGCAAAGCATGGCGCACAAAGCTGGGAGACGGTTCTTTGGGATGGACGTGAGAGGGCTCAGGACTAGATTACGAGATGATGCAGAAGAAGTGTATAACCTCGACGGGGATGGAGCTCCAAATTTCGTCAAGGAGTTTAGCGGAATGACCTTTGTGCGCGCCAAGACTTCGCTTGCGAGAGTGCAGCTGACACTGTAAACACAAGCCAACGATGGGAGGTGTTGTAGTCCGCCTCCTGGTGGTTGTTTCCGGTTTAGTTTTAGTAGCCTGGGCACCTACTCCACTTGGGAAGGAGACGCCTCAGATTACATTTCGCGCGGAGAAAAGTTGAATGGATGACGGAGGTATGTCTGGATAACTCGGGGTTTTTGAGACGTTTCCACGAGTGGGTATGCACGGATGAGGGTTCACTTGGGGTGAAGGAAAAGCTACCATAACTTTGCAGTGGTACTTGCAGATGAAATCCAAGAAATGAGTGCTCTTCCATTACGTCGAATCATCTATTATGTACTTTTCTTTGATATTGTGTCATAGCTAGATAGCTGCATACGCAATTAATCTAATGCAAAAAAGAAAGGCGCTCTAGATCAGATAAGGATCAAAATTTACCCGTCAGGTTGAGCTACTGATTATCAGTTGGTGAATATCTAACTTTTATATATAAATTGCGACACTACTCAGCTACATCAAGACGCTGCATCAGATACTCAACCTCAACTTCTTTGGTTAATGGAACTATGCAATTTTCGTATAGTCCAACTACCGCATCAACATCTATTTTGGGAACCGCGTCCTGGCCTATGCTGGGATCGGTGCCGTAAACCTTTGACTTCAGTCGTATCCGATCTAGCACCTGCCGTTCTACTGCTGGCTTGGTGATAGCATCTTCAATCCCTCGCCGATCTTTCGCCTTTATCATCGCATTGAATTTTTCAGGGGACTCCAGATACTTGGATTCAGCTACCCATTTCCCGAAATGAATCCTTCGCGAGATGGCTTGAAGACACAGTACATCAGCAGTTGCCGCTGATCCATAATTCTCAGCCCTTTCCCCCTTATCTGTTCTGCCAGGATCCAAGCAGAAAGTTGGAAGAAGCAATTCTATGTAGTGCTTTTTAATCTTTTCATTGCAATTGACGTTATTGTGGTGAAGAAGTTGAGGGATATTGAGTGGTTGTAGTATTGGCTCCTGAAGAGCATCTGGAAAGAAACAATGCTCATCTGGAGATTGATACCGTCGTATCAGTGAATCAATTTTTTCCCGCTCACGAAGGATCCAATCTAGTAAGCTCAGATGACAGTTTGGGATTTTAACACCACCTGGTCTGTAAATAGTTGGATTGAGAGGATATTGCGCGCGCTCAATTAGATGAAATGTTATTGTCTCTTCCATGCGTCTGAAAATTTGTAAGCTGGAATTTTAAAAACAGAAAGGACATTTATATTACATAAGTTGTCGTCGTATGTGATTGAGATTTAATGCCATCGAAGGATCCGAAAGATCTATTGCAGTATCCATAAGTGATGTGGCACAAAGTGTCTCACTTGGTAGCTCAGTCTTTCTAGACGATTATGTGGTCAATCAATAAGCTATACAACTTAACCATCCATGACTAGGGTAATTAGCAAATATTTTTGAGAAAACTCTTCTGTGTAGATATGTTAGAAACGCACAAAAGTAAATGAAGGAAATCTCTTCCTGGGCTTAAATACCCATGCCTCTGGTGTGACCGGTCATATTCATTCAAAATCAGTGACCACCATGACCACAACAGGCGTCTAAGGTTGTACTAAAGCAGAACCGTCCCTATTTTTCCAAAGTTCAGCTCAGTCACAGTTTAACCCAATAAAAGCATTAAGATTACATGTTTTATCGGCGGTGAAGGGACCGGATGGCTGGCTTCAGCGGCCACAATGACTCACCAACTGAGGAAGAGTCAGCCCTCATATCTGTACGCGATCTTATGTGATTTCGTTATTGATGCTATGCTGACTAGGGACCAACAGACCAAGGGAATTGAGGCATTTGGTAAGAAGTTTACAACAACAGCAAGTCATTTAATAGGGGACCCAATCTCAAGTGCCCATTACCAAAATGCGATGAATGACTTACACATGCAACTTCGGAGACCAAACATCCAACGAAGTATATTTTCACTTGTCAAAACTAGTCCAACAGATCTTGTGCGTTCTCAATTGTCAAAATCAGAGATCCAGTATCGGGCCCTAACATACGTTCCTGACGAATTGCTAAAAAATATACCTGAAATTGATAACAAATTTTCTCTATTTCAGGGATTTCAAGCCACTGTGCCCGAGAACTTTTCAAAAGTCAAACGACACCACAGAAAGATATCGAGAGGCAGACAACTTAGAGATAACGATGACACGGACCCGACATCTCATACAACACTTAGCAAGTTTAAGAAAGAGAAGCGTAGTTTGGATCACCAGTTGGAAATGATACGTGTTCGTAAAAACCTAGCTAGTTGTGAAATTCGCGAGATTGATAACAAAATTTCGAATCTTCTGAATGTGAGGAAGATCCTTTTGGATCGGTCAATTGGACTTGACAATGAAGAGGCTCTACTAGAACAAGACAGTTGGTAAAATGAATCTACACATGTTCAAAGAACTAACATTTCTCCTAGTTTTAGATTCTAAAAGTCGTCTCGAGGAAGCCGAACATCTCATCGACGATAATGAGCAACTCAGCGAGCCGTCAAAAGTTGGAAGTACGGGAGATGTGGACAAAGAAAATTATGAAGCAAGTTTTATGTCAGAGTCAATATACGATAAACTTCCCTCCTCTAATATCACAGCAAGTAAAATAAATAAACAAAAAGCCAGTCACCGAAAACTGATACCAATACCACATGAAAATATGACACCGGGGACTATGATTCGGGATTTTCGTGCGCATCCTGACGCAATTACAACCCTGGACTTTGACGCCCCATTTGGAACCATGGTTACTGCAGCTCTTGACGACACAGTCCGGGTATGGGACTTGAACACTAGTCGCTGTATTGGTCTTCTTGAAGGTCATACCGCATCTGTACGCACACTTCAGGTTGAAGAGAACATCGTTGCAACTGGATCTGTGGACGCTACCATCCGACTATGGGATCTAAAAAAAGCGTATAACGAGCCTACGAGCAATCGGATCAACAAAGATTCAAATAAAAATATCACTTCAGTATCTGAAACTGTTGAGAACGAAGAAACCAAGCCACATATTGGTACGATGCGTAACTGTCCCATTTTTTCCTTAGAAGCACATGTCGATGAAGTAACCGCACTACACTTTCGAGGTGATACACTTATATCTGGATCTGCCGATAAAACACTTCGTCAATGGGATCTAGAAAAGGGCCGCTGTGTTCAAACCTTGGACGTCATGTGGGCAGCTGCCCAGGCATCCACATCTTTAGGATCTGGAGAAGGTTCCTGGCGTCAGACTGGGAAGTTTGTCTCTTCTTCCGCCGACTTCGTTGGCGCTGTACAGGTTTTTGACGCTGCTCTGGCGTGTGGGACTGCCGATGGGATGGTTAGGTTATGGGATCTAAGGAGCGGACAGGTCCATCGGAGCCTGGTTGGACACACAGGACCTGTTACTGCACTGCAGTTTGACGATGTGCATTTAGTCACGGGAAGTTTAGATCGGAGTGTCAGGGTAAGTTGATTCGCCAATAAACTATGAGTATTAATATTAACTTGATCTAGATCTGGGATCTCCGTGCTGGGGCAATATATGACGCTTATGCTTATAACTCACCGATTACAAGTATGATGTTTGATCATATGAGGATCGCAGCAGCAGCTGGTGAAGACGTAGTTAAAATTTACGATAAAATGGAAGGTCGTCAATGGGATTGTGGACCTGGTACGCTTTCAGTAGAAGGTATAGGTCCCGCTATTGTAGAAAAGGTTTGTATAAAAGAGGGTTTTTTGGTGGAGGGACGTCAAGACGGAATGATAGGTTTATGGACATGCTAATGATGATTGATTCGCGGATAACCCAAACTAGCGATGTGCGTGCTTAGAGGATGGCGCCAATTAAAAAACATACATCTTCATCATTAAAACTGCTGCGCTCGAAGTCAACTCAAAGCGGCACAAAGTTGAAAATCGGGCTTCGCCCAACGAGAGTCAGATGGGCTTTTAGAATAATGTACTCTTAAATACAGGATGGATCCGAAGTTGTATTGTACTAGAATAATAAAAGATGTTATGTACACGTGTTTTATCTAAGCACAATACTACTATAGCCCATGGAACCCTAACTACTAATAACTTCTCTTTATCTCTAAGGTTAATGGTTATCTATTCAACATTAATTGGTCGAATTCGTCTCCCTAAAAGAGATAATTTGCAATTATCCATCACTATTACATCTTGAATATAGCTCTACGTTGTGCTGAAGACTAGAAGGGTCTTGATGTTTTTGTCGGCGACCTCAACTTGGAAGATTTAGAATGAAATAATAATAGCCTTGGGCTCATAGCAGTCACAACAAAATGTAGCGATTAACAAAGTTTTAGAGAGGATGTCTAAACTGTTTCCATGTCCATACCACGTCGTCATTGGAAATGGGCTTTCTTGGTCAAGGCAAGCTGAGCCTTTTTATTTCTGCATGATATGCGGAGTAAGAGAAGACCGTTTTTACTTGGACCTTTGAGAAGCATTTTGGGATAATTTCAAAAGTCTCGGACATGGAACAAGTAATACGTTGGTAGGCCAAGTAAATGAATACCATTAAGCAGCACCTGTAAGGCGGCGAATGGCTTTACGTACGCCTTCGCCCACAACCATGATGAGACCTTCTTGCTCAAGAAGGCGAACAACTTCGGCGAACTCGGAACTTTCGATGGGCATGCTGCTCTGCTCGCCAAGCCGTTTTATAACCTCGATATATCGGGCCGACTGACCCTGGCCGGTCATTTCATCGAGCAGAGCCAAAGTAGCTCTCTTCAGATCTGCCTTACGTCGACGCTCACTCGCGCTCGTACCTTCGGTCAGTAAGCTCATATCAATCAGCCCAGTCCGCGCATCTGTTGCCGCTTGTTTTAGGGCAGATTTGATAAGGCGCACTGCCTCGCTTACGTCATCGCGTCCTACTGTGTCTGAGAGTCGCATCTTTGCATGAGCTTCGGCAAGTCGAATCATAGATTCGAGCTGGCGCGTAGTTGCAGTGATCCGTCGCTCTGCTGCCCGGATGTCCTCGCCAAGCTTACGCATCTCAACATAAGCTGTGACAAGTTCTTCGGCAGCTTCTGCGCTGATACGGGGTTGACAAGTGTGGCGCGCATATGATATGTACGAAGTCAAAAATTCGACAGGCTAGAATTGTCAGCAGGCATTTCATTAAAGTCTTTTGTTGAGACATACCAATATTTCCATGCCACCAGATGCACTCTGAGGCTTGTCGTCCAGATACATACTCAGTAAGTGGCGCGCAAGTCGTCGGTCATTTGTTTCATCAACTCTATCTAGAATAAGATATACAAGATCGAAGCGAGATAGAAGAGTTGGAGGCAGATCAATATTTTGTGGTACAGGAAGATTAGGATTGTATTTGCTACCAATGGGATTGGCTGACGCGAGGATACTCGTTCGCGCATTGAGCGTAGTAATTATTCCAGCTTTGGCTATAGAAACTGTCTGTTGCTCCATGACTTCATGCAGAACTGATCTGGTAGCATCTGACATTTTATCAAATTCGTCAATGCAGCAAACACCTCCGTCTGAGAGGACGAGAGCTCCTGATTCCAGAACAAGTTGCCGAGTTTCTGGGTCTCGGGTGACATAGGCGGTCAAGCCAACGGCAGAAGATCCCTTTCCACTTGTATACAAACCGCGTGGAGCAATCTTGTGGACATACTGCAATAGTTGTGACTTGGACGTAGATGGGTCCCCACATAGTAGAATGTTAATATCTCCTCGATACTTGGGACTTCCTCCTTTCTCAAAAGTCTTGTTAGTACCGCCAAATAGCTGCAGTAAAATACCTTTCTTGACATCGTCCATCTCAAAAATACTAGGCGCAAGCGAGCGAGATAGAAGTTCATATATATCTGGACGCAATGCAGTTTGAAGAATTTTTTCTTTTTCTTCATCGCTAACTCGCCGTGCCTCTTCAATATTTGTGGCTGTTTGTTCCGAGAGATCTTGCTCAACTGTAGAAACATCAATTCCCATACGTTTCTTGTCAACTTTTTGGATATGAAGAACGTCAATGTATGTTTTGTAGACATTTTTTAACGTTCGTTGTCGCGGATTTACACGAACAGGACTAGCTTTAAAGATTCCAGTAATTTCGACACGATCGCCCGCTTTACAAAAATCTACTAGTTCATCATATGCACACATAGTAATCGAGTGAGGTGTTTGCCCAGCTGGGACAGAGTCCGGTGTTTCCTGAAACTTAATTACCTGCTTGTCCATGAATTCTGAGCGGTTGTGAACAATCTGCATGGAGTTCGGAGAATCACAGATGGGTCGAGGGCATTTAGTAGGTTCTGCTATACGACCACGGTCAATATCTACTTTTACAGTATGATTACAAACTTGACAGCGGAAAAATGCGTCTTTCATGTCTGGTATTATGGGCGTGGTTCTGATGACGAGACCCTTAATGGCGATAATTTTATCAACATCTGATACAAATCAGCAATCTTGGGATCCTGGGATATAAGCTTGTGCATACCAGAGGGGTTTAGGTCACGCATATTAATAGTTTTCTCGAGTCCAAATGGTCTAACCCTATATGATCTTTTCTGTACTTCTTGGCAGAGGTCTAGTTCTTCAGAGACTCCCTGGCTACGCTCTTGAGTGTCAAGTTCATCCCGTTCGGAACTAAGCATAAGCGGTTCTGAGCTTGCTTTTAGGTTGCGTTGTGAGATTAAAGCTTTGTTCTGCAACTGTCGCTTCCTTAATGTCTCCTCCTCAGCGAGTTCGTACATGACGTCTTTTATTCCCTGATCCATTAAAGTGACAACATCTTGTGGGTAATCTTGAGCTTGCTGCCATAATTTTTGAGTTTTAGGATATGCTTTTAGATTTCGAAAGTCTAAGTTAAGAGATGTGACGCCCAATGTCAGCATATTCTTCATTGTTTCAATATATTCTTTAGTTTCAGCATCAGATTCTTGAGAAGTTTCCTCTTCGCTCATCCCATCCGCCCACATCCGATATTTTTTGGTGAACCCCCGCAAAAAAGTTTTGAAAGTTGAGAGAGTATCATTGATAGATACATTAGTTCCCCATATACAAAGTTGAGACTCGCCTCCCATGGCAGCCGCATCTGATGTAGTGGGGTCTAAATTAGAGAAGGTGGGTGCCTCTGATCCCTCGGTGGGTATATCTCTTGTTACATTCCCACTCTCATCCATAAAAATTCTTCTTCTCGCACGAGGCGTATTGATATTATCAGAATTGATATCCCCCCTTCTCCGAATGTTGAGTGAAGACATTAGCCCGGCATTTTCTCCTCTGGATGATCGGATAAAAAGACCACTGCTATCACTTCTAATATCTGGGGGTACTGATCGACGATACGAATTGAGTCCAGGGCTAGACGATGGAGCATAACGAATGGGTGACGAGTCTGTAATAAATTAAATAAATCATAATTGAGAAGTCACTCCTTACCTCGAGCAAACCTGCTGCTACTCGCACGAGGAGTTAAGTTGTCATCATATTGGATTTGGCTAGTAGTCATCTGGCGCAAAGGAGAGCTAATATCACGTTCCATATTCCTTCCATGAGCTGGAGTGGGTGACGAGGGATATGGAACTGGAGAGCTGCTCCTAATAGCATTCGCATCGCGATCAACATAGCGTTGCGATGACGCAGCTTCAGTCTGAAGTTGTGCCGCCGCTGCATCACCAGGACTGGAGGGAGGCATTCGCGAAGAATTTCGTTGAAGTGTTCTTCGCGCTGCTGTATTTCCGAGCTGGCCATGAGTGCCTTGGGATGGTGTAGGTTGTCCATTAGGTGAGGAAGACATTCTAGTGTAATTATAGGATTTTTACATCCAATTACCGATTTGATGATTATCGTCAAGTGGATATTAATAATTGTACATATCGCGTCGACGCGAAGACCAAATACTGGGGTGGCATTAAAGCGTGCTGCGTCATTCGTCACGTTACTCGTGGAACTAGTGAAAGGCAAGGATGTTTAGACCTAGCCTACATCATCCAAAACATCAATTTTGACAATACACTGCGCATCGTCCAGCGTTGCCCTTATCATCAATTTGACATCGTGAATCATAATTTAATCTCTTCTTTAACATCCCACCACAACAATGCTTTCCGTGCCTCAACATGGCGTGTGTGGGTAAATCCAGTGGTTTCATCGCGTCACAACAATCGACAATGGTGAACACAACCAACGACAGCGGAGCGCAGACAGCTCTATCCTAAAGATCCTCGAAGTACCAGGGAAACAATTTAAGCAGGTCAAATTAATCGTGATGGGCGATATCAATAGGGTGCACCTAACATCAATTGGGGACGTTTACGAGGCCGTGCAGGCATTTTGCGCGCTCAAATTTTCTAGAGGGAAGTGTCGCAGAAAAAATCTCCTCGATCGGAGAGGATGTTGGCACTTGGGTAAGTCCTAAAGAAGAGCCTAGTGGATCCCGCTCGCCATACTACTTCAGGAGTGGCAACAGCAATGCCGAATAAATGGATCTACGCGTCGGTTGTAGTTCCGCAAATGACATTAAATGGCGGTACCTATCACAATTGATGTAGCAGAAAAACTGCAGCCTGAAGAGCTGGTTTCAAAGGCAAAAGAGCACATATAAGGTGCATATGCAATTTGACAGACTCGCAGCAAAGACATTGAGGTGTTCCTCCAGTCAGTATCCCAGAGAGACGTGGCACTTAACATGCGTAAACCAAGCGATTTCAAAATTCCACGGCAAGACTTTCCAGTCGAGGTTTCCGGAGTCCCTCTGCGGACAAGAATTGAGGGTGGCAGAGATGTCAACAACTACGCCATCATCAGGGAGATTGAGTCGGCGACGAAGGCACGTATTCCAGGCCTGGTAATCAACAGAATACGATGGCTCCATGACGGAAAGGAACACCAGCGCTCGAAGAAAAACGGTCGCAATCACGGATCAGTTGTGGTCAGCCTCCCATCAGAGGCAATGTCAACGGAGTTAGTTCGATAGGTCCTTTAAATTAACGCCATGCTCTTCACCGCTCAAGTGTGTTCACCCCGGGCCTAGCCAAAGCAGTGTTATGACTGCAGCAAGTGGGGACAAACCCAGACATCTTGTGAAAAGGCAGCTAGGTGCGGTGAGTGCGTAGGCGTTCACCAAACTCGGGACTATCCGAAAGAAAGGGTTTCTTGTGCAAGTTGCGGCAAGGAATACCGTTCGTTGCAATAAGTAGCGTGTTGGACTTACCAAGTTTACAGGGGAAGTGTGGAGATGGCTTGGATGGAGCTGCTATAGAGAACGGTGGAAATATGGAATGAAAAACCAACCATGATGCCCGTGCGAATAGTTGTAATGACTGTTGATCAGGTATTCAGTTTGATCACCAGTAAGAAAGCTGAAGGACTCAAAAAAGGGCCAGGATGACCACGAAAGGTAGTCGAAGCCCTAGTGGCACCACCATCGGGGCCAACTCTTCGTACACTTCGACGACCAAAGCCGAGTGATGAGGTGCCTTCTCTTTTTAATTTCTCTTAACTTTAGTCTAATTGAAGGGGAAGTTAAAGAATTCTGGGGAAAGTTTAAATAATTGTTGAAAGAAACGACCTCAGCATTAAGCCGGGTCTGCTCAGAGTGGCAGGACGTCAGGTTTTGTCTGTCGAAAACCTTTCCCTTACCAAAGTTGCTTAGCATCTTCATGGTTCTGTATATAGAAGCCATATAGGACATTAAACTAGAGAAATGAGTGAATTGATAAGATAAACATCATCATTTGGTCAAAAGCGGCATCACGTTTCACGAACGTCATTTCATCATTTCGAAAATATTTTCCATCTTAACCAGTCCTTATTTGATTTCTCAATTATTTCACGTTGCGCTTCGGCATGGCGAGTTGGAGAGCCAAAATGGTGGATTTCATAGCAGAAAAAATTTTCACGGCGCCACAACAACCACTAACTAACAGCGGAACCGCCGCAATTGCGGCTGTTGAGTCTCTCGCAATCTCTACAGGCGTCACCATGGACACTTCAAGGATAGTAGGACTTTATCCAAACAAGGCCAGAGATAGACCGGTGAAAGCAGACACTTATAAATCTGCGGCACCGATGGTCAAAATATGGGATGCACTTGATGCGTTTAAAGCCCACGCTACGATGTTACAATCGAAGCTGAAGGATTCACGAATGGAAAAACGGATGCTGGCCTTAGAGAAGGCAGTCATGAAGAATCTCGATGGGCCGTCGCGCAAGTCAGCTGCTTCGGCAGTACAAGGAATGGGAGGGCGACACACATACGCCTCAATCGTCGCACTGCTAGCGACTAAAGCGGCAGTATGGATAAGAATACAAGTAGCAGACGACATGGAGCCGGCAGAGCCCCTAGAGAGGGCAAAAATACATATCGAGGGGGCATACGCAGTAAGGAAGCTGCGGAGCAATGATACGGAGGATTGTGTGCAGTCGGTCTCCCAGCGAGACGCAGCCTTGAGTATGGCGCAACTAAAAAAGCTTTGCGTTCTAAAGCAGGATTACCCTGTTGAAGTTTTGGGGATTCCCCTCAGGGACATTTACAAGAGGAGGAAAAAACTCAGATAATAGCATCTTCATAAATCAAGTCATGGCGGAAACAAAATCTCAGATTCCCGATCTAAAGATCAATAGTGTGAGATGGCTCTTCGACGGAAAGGAGCACCGATAGATGAGACGAAACGACTATACTCAAGGGTCAATCGTCGCGAGTTTGCTAACAGAGGCACTTCAACGCGAAGTGATAAGAAATGGCATTGTCTACAACTCAATGCTATACATGGCCTAGCTCTGGTCACCCCGAGCACAAATCAAGCAGTGCTTTAACTGCTGTCAATGGGGGCATACTCAAGCCTCTTGCAATAGGACAAGGAGATATGGTGAGTGTGCTGGCACTCATCAGACCAGGGAATGCCCGAGGAAGTTGGTACTTTGCTGCAACTGCGGCAAGAACCATAAATCGTGGCAGAAGGGGGCGTGTCAAAATTTCGTGGCATACAAGGCCAGCGTTCAGCGAGCACGGTTTGAATTTCGGAAAGAACTCACACCAGCGGCATCTACAATAACAACGACGGCAAAATCTATAGACGACTAAGGGTTCACACTGGTGTACCACCAGAAGCCGGAGGTACTCAAGAGAGAGCCGGGATGCCCGCGCAAACAGCTCCCGGTCAATTCCTGTCGGTATATCAGGGGTATTAAATGTGCTAGCACAATACGTTCTGAATTTCTGAGGAGTTACTTTTTCTTTTTTCTATTCTCTATATCTAAGCTATCTGGTGAGTGTTACCCTATGTAGATGCCAAGGCACTAGTGCGATCAACACCCGTGCATGAGGGTCTACACTTCGGACTAATCAGAGGGGCCCAAACACTACTGCTACAGTAGGTGATATAATTGTCTCTTAATAACCACTTTATCTGGAGGGCAAGACTGAACACCTGTACGCGGTGTCCTCTACGAACCTGGGAGTGAAACATTCTCCCAGAGCCAAGTTCAGTCAAATTTCGCAATATCAAAGAAGTTGGCCCACGAGGCATAATTTAAAATTACTCTACCACGTCGTTTTCCCGCCCCCAACGAGTTTGACGCCTTCCTAAGTCTCATCAAGTCTACAAGTACGACCTAGTACATCCTCATCCCTATGACCACACCCCTCTCCGACCTTCTCTGGCCTCAGTTGACCACCAATCCCATGCCCACGCCAATATTTATATCCGAAGGAGGAAGCAAAGCATGGCGCACAGATCTGGGAGACAGTTCTTTGGGATGGACGTGAAAGGGATTAGGACAAGTTCACAAGATGATGCAAAGGAAGGATATAACCTCGAAGGGCGTGAAATTCCGAATTTTGGCAAGGAGTTTTTACAATTTGAGCTTTGAGCGTGCCAACTCTTGAGGTGCGAGAGTGCAGCTGATACTATAAACACAAGCCAACGATGGAAGGGGCCGTGGTCCGCCTCCTGGTGGTGTTCCGCGGTATAGTCTAAGTAGCCTGGGCACCTACTCCACTTGGGAAGGTGTCGCCTCAGATTACATTTCGCGCGGAGAAAAGTTGATGGATGATGGAGGCATGTCTGGATAACTCGGGGTTTTTGAGACGTTCCCCTGGGTGGGTATTCACGGATGAGTGTTGACTTGGGGTGAAGAAAAAGCCGGCATAACTTCGCAGTGGTACTTGCAAATGAAATCTGAGGCATGAGTGCTCCTCTTGTAAATTGAGTCATATTTTCTGTACTTTTCTTTGATATTGTGTCATAGCTAGATAGCTGCATACGCAATTAAAATCTGATGCAAAAAAAAAACACTCTTCGCTTCCCACTTCACTTTTTCGTTGAAACTGACAAATGGTAAACTAAAACCAAATAAATATAACCAATTAAATCACCATTTTTGTGGTGCTAGTGCCCTACACTATACCTTAGTCCTCGTACCACACCGAACAGTCCTAAGGAGAATTACAGTTGACCTTTACACTCCCTGTTCACGATTCAGTCTTGTAACATTCTGTTACAGTTAATAAACACCAGAATTTCTGCTATCCTTCTTGCACTATCATATCACTTATCACAGTTCAAGTTTCCTTCTTTTTCGTGAGCCACTTTTGGATAGCCGGGCGACACTTTGCAAAATGCCATGACCACTTTTCTCGGCCGCATTTGCAGAGCATTTCTACATCATGATTAAGTGTATCAATGGGGATGTAAACGACTGCTCAATTAGGCATTCGTTTCAGTTTCTCTTCATAATTTTAAACGCTCACCTGGAATGCAAGTATTAATGATAGAGAAGCCACTCCTTTTGATATATCTATCTTCAGCTTCGGTGGTACATAAGCATGACGGATCTTGATCATATGCCGTTGATATTTCCAGCTGTCTACAACAGTCTTACCAGATATCTTAGAGTATAATTTTCCGTAGCAAGGTAACTACTTCCTTGGGCATTCAAATCAACATCGTGGCGAATAAGGTGGCAATTCCATGGGATTTAAGATTCGTGAGTCCGATGAATTCAGACGCCATATATTTGCTTTACAAGATACGATTTAATGCGGAGCGACGGCGCGCACTGTCCTCTACTTTTGTCAGTGATAAAATTGTCGCACAACTCTATGTTGTGCCTTGGCCGCCTTGCAGACAACCTATTGTTACTTGGTCATTTCTTACATGCTAGTGCTGTTCCTGGATTTCAAGTCTGGCCGCTATTACATGCCAACGTGTTGCCATTCTAAATACGGATATCCAACCTCCTTACACCCTTAACGAGTCAGTCCAAGATTATCTGCGTGCATCAGCGATTGATTACTTGCTCGCACTTATCATTAGTCGCGTTTTCGTTTGAAAGCCCGCTATGATGCTGGCCTCGAGCTTTCAGTCTATTTCTTCACTCAAGGGTCTACAATCTCCAAACACTTCAGTTGTATTGAGTTCCTCTCACTAGATTCGTCGGCTTGGAGTCATTCTCGGAAGAACTTGATCGAGCCGGTAAGCCCTCACTTTTTTCGGTAAATAGCGAATTGACATTCAACTATCAGATTGGTAACAATCTAGCTAGGCGAAAGCACCCTTTCACATTTATTTTTGCAGCCTCTAGCACGGCTTGGGTGAGTGGTATTTAACATACGGAGCTTTCTAGGACGCGCTAGATAACTCCATCTTGTTTCCGCCGTTCTTTTAAACATAACATCCGCAACCTCTGCTCTCGATCTTTGGCCCATTCCATACCCTTGAGTTGAATTTGATGATGAAATGGTTTCTCCTTCCCTCCTTTACAATGATTACTACAGTATCTTCGGTGAACCTTTTTGTGGCATCATACACGGGCTCTATAACAACTTTATCGCTGACCCAGTCCACTGAGGGTCAATACATGTTCTCCAAGATTGCAACTACGGAAACTTCCGGCCTTCATCCTCTCTGGCAAGAGAAAAGGGGCGATTTGATTTATGTCTGCAACGACAACCTTGCAGCACCTAACGGATCTATCTCTTCCTACAAGGCCAGCGCAACTGGACAGCTTACTCTAGTTCAGCAACCTCTTAGCACCCAACCAGGTCCAGTCTCAACCGTCATTTATAATCAAGGGAAAGCTTTAGCTGCAGCTCATTAGTTGGTTCCTCCTTAAAGATACGTGTCTATAATTTACAAACTCGTTAACCCCTTCATAGCAGCGGATCCGCAGTCACTAGTTTCTCAATTGGTGGTGATGGCATTCTAACCCCTCTTCAATCTTTTGTTTTCAAGACCCCGCCCGGTCCTAGGCCACAACAAGATGCGTCACATCCACATCAGGTCATTCTCGAACCTTCCGGAAAGTTTATCGTTGTGCCCGATCTTGGCTCTGATCTCCTCCGTATCTTCAGTATCGACGATACCAATCATCTAACCGAAAAAGCTCCGGTATCAGTTTCTCCTGGCTCAGGTCCTCGTCACGGAGCCTTCCTACCAAACTATGGGGAGACATCATCGACGCTTAAATTTTTTCTCATATCAGAACTCAGTAATACAGTGTCTTCATTCACCGTTGCGCCTTCAGGTGATTCACTAAGCTTCACACCTATTTCAAATGCAGATGTTTTAAATAAGCCTGCGCCTGAAGGTCTTGCATCCGCAGAGCTTCAAATATCGGTAATTCTCAAGAACTTCTAGGACTCAGTCTCGCCAAGCTAACTTTCTTAGCCTGATGGTCGATTTATGATGACCTCTGCTCGCAATGCAACTCTACTCTCAGTCCCTAGTACTTCCTCGGAAAATGCTACCGAAATTCCTTCAGATACGCTCCAAAGTTGGGCGATTGATTCGTCTACAGGGGGAATCGCTTTTCAACAATTGACCCCTGCCGGTGGGCGCACCCCACGTCATTTTTCGACCAACCAAAATGGAACAATGGTGGCCGTAGCATTACAAGGAGATGGTCGTGTAGTTGTATTTGCTCGTGATGCCACTAACGGATCACAAGGACCACTGTTAGCGTCAGTAGACGGCATGGGCGAGGCTTTAAGCATCATTTGGGATGAATATGATTGACATAGCAAATGTTTGTGAGAGCCACCTAAAATGTAGACTGAAGCCAGTCTATCCATAAGTTGCCATTTACTGCGTAATCAAAGTCAACATTCTACGTCTGAATCCAATTCAGCAGATGCACCATTCCAAGTCAGCGAGTCATTCTTGAATTCATATACGAATTAAATGCGATTAAACAAAATGAAAGAAATTTTATCCACTAGTTATATCCGGTGTACTTGCGTGACTGCAAAGATTCATGAAATCTGTAGGGAAAAGATTTGTCTCTGATAGTAACGCAAACCTTTCATGATCAGTTTTTTTTTGGATCAGATTTTAATTGCGTATGCAGCTATCTGGCTATGACACAATATCAAAGAAAAGTACAGAAAATATGACTCAATTTACAAGAGGAGCACTCATGCCTCAGATTTCATTTGCAAGTACCACTGCGAAGTTATGCCGGCTTTTTCTTCACCCCAAGTCAACACTCATCCGTGAATACCCACCCAGGGGAACGTCTCAAAAACCCCGAGTTATCCAGACATGCCTCCATCATCCATCAACTTTTCTCCGCGCGAAATGTAATCTGAGGCGACACCTTCCCAAGTGGAGTAGGTGCCCAGGCTACTTAGACTATACCGCGGAACACCACCAGGAGGCGGACCACGGCCCCTTCCATCGTTGGCTTGTGTTTATAGTATCAGCTGCACTCTCGCACCTCAAGAGTTGGCACGCTCAAAGCTCAAATTGTAAAAACTCCTTGCCAAAATTCGGAATTTCACGCCCTTCGAGGTTATATCCTTCCTTTGCATCATCTTGTGAACTTGTCCTAATCCCTTTCACGTCCATCCCAAAGAACTGTCTCCCAGATCTGTGCGCCATGCTTTGCTTCCTCCTTCGGATATAAATATCGGCGTGGGCATGGGATTGGTGGTCAACTGAGGCCAGAGAAGGTCGGAGAGGGGTGTGGTCATAGGGATGAGGATGTACTAGGTCGTACTTGTAGACTTGATGAGACTTAGGAAGGCGTCAAACTCGTTGGGGGCGGGAAAACGACGTGGTAGAGTAATTTTAAATTATGCCTCGTGGGCCAACTTCTTTGATATTGCGAAATTTGACTGAACTTGGCTCTGGAAGAATGTTTCACTCCCAGGTTCGTAGAGGACACCGCGTACAGGTGTTCAGTCTTGCCCTCCGAGAGTGCAGCTGACACTGTAAACACAAGCCAACGATGGAAGGTGACGTGGTCCGCCTCCTGGTGATGTTCTCTAGTATGGTTTGAGTAGCCTGGGTACCTACTCCACTTGGGAAGGTGACACCTCAGATTACATTTCGCGCGGAGAAAAGTTGATGGATGATGGAGGCATGTCTGGATAACTCGGGGTTTTTGAGACGTTCCCCTGGGTGGGTATTCACGGATGAGTGTTGACTTGGGGTGAAGAAAAAGCCGGCATAACTTCGCAGTGATACTTGCAATTGAAGTTCGAGGCATGAGTAACCTTCTTGTAAATTGAGTCATATTTTCTGTACTTTTCTTTGATATTGTGTCATAGCCAGATAGCTGCATACGCAATTAAAATCTGATGCAAAAAAAACACTTTGAGCCTACCGTCTAATCTGATGGTGGTTAGCTTCGTGGTAATGGTGATAGGGGGGTATGATGAGAGATGAAGATCATACAGACCGCGAAAGCGATAGGGAATCCCAGAGAAGTGAGGACTTTTTTACCCAATCTCGGCTCTGCAGACTCTGCAATGAGAGTTGGAGGTTCGTAGAGGACACCACTGACAGGTGTTGAGATTAGTCTCTCACAGAACTGATAGAAAACGGTAGCAGAAGCACCGCCCAAGACGCTACAAAAATCTTGAGATCCGCATGCGATAGAAATGACCTCAACAGCTACACCTTCCAAAATGGGAATACCATCGGCGATTTTGCCACGAGAATGAGAACCTGACCTACCCTCGCGGTGGAGGAATAGGCCATGGTACCTTGCAGAATGCTGACCGGCTTCGCAACTTTGGAGAAGCCTTGGACAGAAAGTCACACCCAGGGTGAAATACGATGATTGAAGAGGAGCAGGGCAATGTTTTAGGCACTTATTGACAACTAAATGTCATGACCATGTGGCTATACAATAGGGTGACAGGGATCACCACTGAACTTCGCAAAATTTAAAATCAAAAACTGTCGATTGGCCTTAGCGTACGTATACGTAAGGTTAATTCAAAGCAAAATGAAAGGTACAAAAGTGAGGTATATATTAGTTCTTCTGTCTCTGTCTGAGATCATTGCGAAGGTGTAGTTCGTGATGTTGGCTGAGTCATCGAGTCAATGACTCAGCAACAGAGAGATTCACCACGCCTAGTGCACCAAAATAATTGAACTACTTTCCGACACAAAGTACGCTATTTTTCCTTTTGTGGGTGGATGAGAGGCGGGTACAATGCAGGGCGTCGTTGATACGAAATTTTATGGCTATTTTTCCTTTATTTCCTTCAATCGAAAAGGGTTTGGTTATGTAGGTTGATGTGATCCCTTGGGGACCACATGCTCGTTGTAATTTTTTGTCTTGTCTCAGTCTATGACTTAATAGGACATGCAGGTCTTCTCTACCTACAGGCCAAGGATACATATGCCAGTAGTATATCCCCTTCTATGCCTCCCATGTAGCTCCCCTCACACCGTACCACCCCTCATAAGTCCTCATTCGATCATACACTTAGAGGAGCCCTTTTCCCCTTATCATCTCCCCTCTCCAGCCAATGTACCGGTGGCCAATTGCGTGTGAATGGCAGCCGGGAAAAATCGCAAAAACCACTGGGTGCGGGGCTCTTCTAATACCGACATTAGGACTAAATACGAAGACACGGTGATCCTTCTGAAGCGTTCAGAGAGGCCGGCTAGCTGGGCGCTGCAGACTTGTGTATACCTCGGGAAATTAACCCTCTGCCTTTCTAGCCTCCTCCCAACTCCTTCCCGAAAGTCGTGCTCAAATATCAGAAAAGTCTTGACAGAGCGTGATTACTGTGTGGTAGCTTAGCCCAACTTCTTTTGTGTCGTTCAGGGCGCTGGGGAGTGCCGTTGACTCGTCGGCAAAACAAGCTCTCCTGGCCAATTAGCCGAAATCTCGGGGTTGGAGCCCACAAACTTTCCAAAGTTGAAAACCCCTCAAAGTTTTCTTCCCAGCATAGTCTTCAGAGGCATGTATCCCCTCTTGCTCCACTTCTCAATCGCCTGTTCACCCTACAGTTGTTAGACCCATGATAGTAACTGTCCCCCAAAAACCAAGACCCAAACTTTGTATCGCCTTCCACAATCCTTTCACAACACTTTAAGTTTACCAAGTTTTCTTTCGTTCACGTACAATCTAGATTGTATTTCACACCGCAAACATCAATCACGCTGTTGGAATTCGTAGGGGCCAATTCAAGTATCACAGAACAAATCTCCAAAGTTTAACATATTAAATTCCAGTACATAACAAAGATTATTCGCAACACCAACGTGAAGTTCTTTATCCAGCACTTTTACCAAGGTTCTAAAAAGCTTCAGAAAATTAAATCAATATGTCTGTTCAAAAAAATCTCGAAGATGAGCCTCATAATATTTACGATACGATTCTCACACTTGACTTTGGGTTAGTAGTTGATTCTACATATGCATCTATAATTTCTAGGTCTTTAACCATCATAGTTCCCAATACACGCATCTAATCACAAGACGACTCCGAGAGCTTAATGTCTACTCGGAGATGCTTCCCTGTACGCAGCAGCTGGCCAATCTTACTTGGAAGCCCAAGGGAATTATCTTATCCGGAGGACCATATTCTGTGTATGAACCTGGTGCTCCCCACGTTGATCCATCAATTTTCGATCTAGGAGTCCCGATTCTTGGTATTTGCTATGGGCTACAAGAAATAGCATGGCATCATGGAAAAGATGTCATCGCTGGAACAGAACGAGAATATGGTCATGCAGATGTGCACGCCCATAGACAAGAGGGGTTTGTTGATAGGCTCTTCATTGACCTTGAAGATGACTTCAAGGTATGGATGTCACATGGGGATAAGCTTGGGGCTCTTCCTAATTCATTTCACACGATCGCATCAACAAAAAGCTCTCCGTTTGCAGGGATAGCTCATTTACTGAAACCAATTTATGGAATTCAGTTCCACCCTGAAGTAACACACACCCCGAGAGGCGCCAAACTATTGCAAAACTTTGCAGTTGATATTTGTGGAGCAAAGCAGAATTGGAACATGGACTCCTTTATTGAAAAAGAAAAGAATAGAATCAGGTGTTTAGTAGGCGATAAAGGACAGGTACTTGGTGCCGTGAGTGGGGGAGTAGATTCAACTGTCGCTGCTAAACTTATGCATGATGCTATCGGAGATCGTTTCCATGCCGTTCTCGTTGATAATGGATGTATGCGCCTAAACGAATGTGAACAAGTGCAGAAAACTCTTTCGAAGGAACTTGGTATCAACCTTACTGTTGTCGATGCTTCGGACCGCTTCCTTGATGGGCTGAAAGGCATAACTGATGATCCTGAAGCCAAGCGAAAGTTCATAGGAGCTACGTTTATTGATGTTTTTGAGGCAGAGGCTCTCAAGATTGAAGCAAAAGCCTTCAACACTCCGCAGGCTGGAAGAATTGAGTGGTTCCTTCAGGGAACTCTTTATCCGGACGTGATTGAATCGATCTCCTTCAAAGGACCCTCGGCAACCATAAAAACGCACCACAACGTAGGCGGGCTGCCAGAGCGCATGATGAATGGACAGGGTCTAAAGCTGATTGAGCCATTGAGAGAGCTTTTCAAAGATGAGGTTCGAGAAATGGGACGTCAGCTTGGAATCGACGAGGAGCTCGTGATGCGACACCCCTTCCCAGGACCCGGCATTGCCATTCGCGTCCTGGGAGAAGTAACGCGGGATCAGGTGGCTATTGCACGAAAAGCCGACTACATTTTTATTGACGAGATCCGCAAGGCGGGCTTGTACAACCAGATTAGTCAAGCTTATGCCGCACTCTTACCAGTCAAAGCGGTCGGTGTTATGGGGGACAAGCGAGTCCACCAACAGGTGGTTTCATTGCGGGCTGTACAGACTACCGATTTCATGACTGCAAATATCTTCCATTTTGATTGGGAATTTTTGGAGAAGGTCAGTAGTCGCATTTGTAACGAGGTGGATGGTGTTTGTCGGGTGGTGTATGATATGACAAGTAAGCCACCAGGAACAATCGAAATGGAGTAAGCGATGAAAAGTCTTTTCTGAATATTGGCGTTGGTTGAGCTTGTACGGGGGAATCACATGGGTATAAGTCACGCGGTATCAGCGCGGCGTTGGGATTAACTTCTGTTCATTGTTGATTATAGATGCCAGTTGACCTTGAAGATAAATAAATAAACAAATAATCTTGATCTTGATTTTGTTTCTGATTTTATTAACTAAGTATGGTGTACTATGGGCCCTTGCAGCTGTCTACGAATTGTACTATTTACAAGGGGGGAAACCTTTTGGTGAAAACCACCCAAACTTTCCTGTTTATTTTCTCGATTTTTCTAATGTATCCCTCAGGAAACGCATTTACAATACAGTGCGCTAAATGTAAACTTATCACATCATCTCTGCCTACCCCAAGGATTGCTTGACCTGTTCCTTTATTCAGTTAATTGTGATGGACTTATTAGCATTAATTGTCAGTGGAAAGAATTGTCTGATTGTATATTCTCCCTTTGTTTACTATATGTAGATTGTCCTACATAGTTATTAAATTAAAAAGGACATATTGTATTTAATTTTAATTTCATTTTCCTGATTTGGCGCCCTATGCGCCCAGGCAAGTGTCTATCTGTTACGGTTTGACCGTTGTTTTAGCTTAGGAGGAAACATAAGCGTTTAATTAGGAATAATTACGATAAGACTGAAAGAGGAAGGATGGGCAAATAGAGATGAAATGGCATTACTAGCCAGGAGGTCGAAGCAACATCATAGCGTAATGGCTCCTGATAATACTTGGCTCGGTAGCAAGTATTAGGCCTAGGGAGAAGTTATCAGTCAGCAGATTCACGAAGCGGACCAAACGTTATAAGTACCTGTTAGTAGTAGCTGGAGATTTCATTACTTTTCTTATAGTTTAATAAATCGATTTATTTATTATCAACTCGGTTTCCGTCACACTATCATACTTTCTAATTTACATGGGAGGAAACCTTTGTAGTGAAAGCTCCCTAGACCTTTCTGCCTATTGTCTTTAGTTTCCACATATTTTATTCAGGAAGCGTAGTCACACTACATTGCCTTCCATGAAAACCAATCACATCATCTCTAACTGCCCCAAGCATTACTTGACCTGTTCCTTTCCATCAGCAGCATTTAGACCGCCTTTGTCATCTGGAGTTTTTCTATCAAACTATGATCTAGGATTCACTTTTTTATCCTCTTGATGTCTCCAGGACTTTTTATCATAGCTTCGTAGGATCGATCTTTAGCTTGTCTCCAAATCTCATCTCCCATATAACCATCGAGGGCAGAACATAATCATATGCTTAGGGTTCTGCGATTGATAGCCACACGGACAGCCTGGACTGTAGACTCTAGGTACTTTTCTTCTACCTAAATACGAGTTGAGCCCCATGTGCTAACTTAGTATTTGCATCGCTCGACTGCTTTGGGTCCTTTTCAGGTTTTGGCGGAGTAAAAATGGCGATTCCTGGAGTCTTACTTTCCATCGATCTGACCTTCGATCGTGATAGAATTCGACTGCTCTCCAAGTTATGGGGTCGGCGATAGCTCATTGTCGAGGTAGTTGGAGCCGCGTTTGATTTTGCCAGGATTTGGTCCGGTATTGGTGTGCTGCGACATTTACTGCCTCTTTGTGCGACTTTTAAACTGATCTTCCCCGCAAATTTCCACCCAGTTTGCTAGATCCAATCTCCTGTAATTGGCGCCAATGCATTCTCTCCCTTATTTGGGCAGCTTAATATTGTTATTAATGCGCTTTTCACATTAGTAGTAAATGGGGGCTATTCTCAACACCTGTCAGTGGTGTCCCCTACGAACCTCTAGCTCTCACTGAAGTCTGCAGAGCCGAGATTGAGTAACACCGTCCTCACTTCGATTAGGATTCCCATTCGCTTCCGCGGTCTGTGTCGGCTTCATCCTAAGCACATTCCCCTATCACCATCATCATGAAGGTGGCCAAGATCAGATCAGACGGTAGAGTCGGGGCCCTACCCATCACCAACCCTTGATCATGGAGGAAACGCCATCCGATGTGTTTCCGGAGCGTACCCAGCACCCGATACGGAGATGGCGGATTGGATCAATTCAGCCACGAATGTTACAAAGAAGGGAGATATAGATGAATATGCGCATCTCATATGGTCCCGATGTCTAGGCCTCGCCTGGCTGGGGCTGCAGGTTTTTTGAGACTTTTTCCCGCGCACGCAGTTTCCGTGGCTACCGTTTCTATTTTATATAATTTTTGGATAGAAGGCTCCGTGGAAAAGGTGGCCGAACTCCACGGGTAAATACTGAGCTGAATGGCTATTCATCATGGGCAATATATCAATGAACTTACAAGTAACAAAAGAGGCGAGGAGCACTGTACAAGGTGTAGCCTGGGTCAGAGAGGAGCCCAATGTGCTACATAGTCATAGACTCAGACAGGACAATAAAATGAACTAACACACACAAACGTCCTTATCACAGAGGCTGCTAGACGACTGGTGGGAAGAGGCCTGTCCGCCTCAATACCGCCAATTCAACCTACAGGTGCGGAGACGCCAACCACCCGAATTGTCTCTCTCTAGGCACCTCCTCCGGGCACTAATCGCAGCACGAAAGGGTCACGGCAATTTTGCGGCATACCATCGCCGTTTTAATAATCCATACGTTCCTATGGAGTGCTCTTGCGGGAAGGAAACTACTCCAACCCACTTCATCCACTGTAGCCGTCACGTACAACAAACGCGTAGGCTCAGAAAGTCAATGTCATACGCTGACTTTATTAAAAAGCTTCTCGGGCCAAAGTGCCACGATAGCTTCAAAATATTTGCGGAGGAAACCGGCTGTTTTGATAGCCAACCCGCCCACTTATCCACTGGTCTCAGCGGGGATCAGACAAACTAGTCATTGCCACAACGCGTGACACAAAAGGGATCGATGCAAGAATTGTCGTTTCTCTGAGGAAATTTTTATGTACTTGGATTTAGATTTGAAGGATGGAGTCTCGATTTCGTAGTCGGAGTAGGTGGTGTCTTCTGAATTATAATTTACCTTCTACTTTTTCTGTAGCGGGTCTCGCGGTTGGAATGAGTTGGGCCTGTAAGCAGTGATCCCCGCCGGCTCCACCAGTCTTGTACCTAGAGTGGACCTAGAGCTTTAGCTTACGACTTTAATATAAAAAACAAAAACAATAAAAAAAGTCCTTATCGTGCACAATGTGGATGACTTATTTTCTTACGTGATTTGGAGGAAAGAATTATTCATCAAATTTTGTGCGAGTGTGTCTTACTCGCTGGATAAGGCGCTGATTTGAGGGAGATAAGGTCTCTCTCGGCATAAACTAGCAGATGAGGGGCTACCCTTGTCTTCTTCAACAAAGCAAACGAAGTTAGGAACGGGTATATTCGATAGAGAATTTAACAGCTTACCACCTTTGAGAGATATTCATGTCTAAGATTACTACTTTCAGTTTCGACACGAAGTGAAAGTCTTCAGATACTGTAAGGAACCCTCGCTTAGATTTGATTGCATTTCTGTGTGTATGTTCCTATAGCATCGGTGATCGCGGATACACAACGAATTTTGTCGTAGGTATGAAAGATTATATCGTAACATGAAATCAAAGATACCCTAAGTAAATCTGATAAATGCAGATGGACATGTGAGTTTGTCGGATGCATTATTGACAGAAAGTTGCTGGAAAATTATTTAGTATCAAGGGTGGCGGTGCTTCAGTAGGGCTGCCGCGTGCCGATTAGTTTGACCGCATTACCCGCTGTGATATGTGGATCGGAGTATTTTCTTTACCGATAGAGCGGCTGACTAAACGGCATCGTTCCTATTTAGGCAATGCAATGAGTCGATGTGAAGATATACTAAACACTAGAGATCAGGTATCAAAGTTTCAAAATGGCAGGGTCAAGGCAATCCGCGGAGGAAGAAATGAGGGCAGAAGTAGACGTGAGTTTTTTCTATAACTTACAAATTCAATAAGTGAAAAAGCTAATGTACTAAATAGGTCTTGAACAGCAGGCTGGAAAAGACGCGAATGTTGAACAAGAAACTGGCTGCTTCAATTTCACGTTTGGATGTCAACGGGAAAAGTGTACAAGAGGCTATCGGTCCAATTTACAGTGACACACAGAAGCTTCAAATCTTTGGGAAAAGTTCGTGGATGATACGAATTCTAATCTCCGTAAATTTCTAACGCTAGATTAGACGTCGATGAGCTAATGAATGCGATCGAAAAAGTAAGACAACCCTCTGATATTAAGGGCAATGAAGAGGATATTATTCGCAAAGGGTTAGCAGCCATACACAAGAGTTTTCAATCGCTAATATGTTTAATAAAGCCCTGAGCAAGCAGGACTTCCAACATTCCTCAACTCAGTAGAGCGAATGAATAGAGCATTAGCAGATCTGAAGAAAACGAATTTGCGATCAAATTACCAAGCCATAGCTGACTTCACGAGGCTACTCAGGAATTCTCAACAACAGCTTGAGGGATATTTTCGAAAGATGCTGTTGGAAGATTCAAATGCTATTGAACCCTTGTTCTATTTAACTAAAGATAAGCCTTTTCCTGTTATCTCACAAGAAAGAGCTGCTCGCCTTAATCTGATTATTTCCTACTTAACATCTGCCAGCAAAGTTTCCGAAAATACAGGGCCGCCTACCTCGCAGCTTTATTCTAGTGTTCGGGGTCCATATCTTATACAATGTTTGCAAAATCTTGCTTCAGCTACCATACAAACATTACGGAAGAGGTCACCCGATGAGATTTATAAGTATGGAACTAATGGCATAAGTACATACGCAAAGGGTATAGAAAGTGCTTTTTTAGCAGAATATGAAAATATTTGTGCACTCTTCCCGCAAGACGAGTGGGGTAAAGCCTTCAATGCCACATGCCAGGGCTCAATTACAGAACTTATGAGGACCCTTCGAGACGTAAACAACCACATTAAGGCAAACATTACTACCGATTGTTTTCTGGCCTACGAGGTGTTAGAAGTCATTTCAGATCTATCTTCAAGCCTAGAAAATAAAACCGGAGAGCTGAAACCATCGTTTGCTGGCGCTGTGAACCCTATCCGTGAAACCGCCAAGTCCTCACTTTCAGAATTACTCGAAAATACTCGACAATCGACTGTAAATTTGGGGAATTTACCTCAGGACGGAGCCGCAGTATTGATCACTGTTGATACGGTAAACCGCTTACAAACTATGGCTGGCTTTCTCCGACCAATCTCAAGTCTAATGATTTCGATCGGAGATAACGGCTGGAAGCTGAACTCAACACCTGCCGTCTCAGCAGAGAAAGTTCCTACAATGGGTCTATTTGATGTAGGAGCAGATGGAAAACAAATTTTTGCTCATTATTGTATTGATACAATCGAGACCCTTCTTGGCGCATTAGAACTCAAAGCAAAAGCAAGCTACAAAAGTAAGGCTACCTTTGGAATATTTCTCGCCAATAATGCAGCTATAATTGAAAGGCTTTTCCAAACTTCAGAATTACAATCTCTTATATCCACAAGGATGGCCGACGTGGAAAAATGGCGGAAAAATGGAGAGGCACTCTACCTACAAAGCTGGCGAGAGCCTGCTGCTCACCTTTTCGACAAATCCTATACCAATCGTCTTTCAACCAGCAACCGTCCCAATTCAGGCTCAGGCACACTTAACGACTCAGTAGTGATTCTCAAAGCCCTCAGCAGTAAAGAGAAAGACGGGATCAAGGAAAAATTTAGACTCTTCAATGCCAGTTTCGATGATTTAATTGCTAAGTACAAGGCAATGAGCATGGAGAGAGAGCTTAGAGAAGGTTTGGCAAGGCAAATACGTTCGATGATCGAACCACTTTATGGAAGATTTTGGGACCGATATCATGAAATCGACAAAGGGAAGGGGAAATATGTTCGTTATGACAAGGCCAGCATATCTAATATTTTCTCATCTCTCTCATAGCGAGAGGAAACCTATTATGACAAAACTTAACACCAAACTATCAGTAACATTAGGGAATAGAAAAAACACTTCAGTAAACCAAAATGGCCTCGACCAATAGATATTCTTGACATCTCAATATCGCCCACAGTCAATCCAATTTCGTCTATTTTTCTACTTTCATTATAAAGCCAGTGATTACGTCAAGTTTTGGACTCAATCTTTCTGGCAGATTCTTTGACTACTTTCAAATATCAGAGATCAATATCAGATCAAATAATGCAAATAAAAAATTGGATAGCTTGAAGAAAAATGGATAAGATTTATATGAAAAAAATAATCTCAAAAATCCGTACTGGAACAGATATGCGACAAAAGCCAGAGTTTAGTAATAAAATATCTTAATAATACCAGAAATAAATGAACTACAGGAATATTGTGTGATGTACCGACACAGGTAACTTTGAAGGCCATAACTGGTTACACAAGCCGTGGAAGCGATGCTTTCCACATCCATGATTTTTGCAATGGTAAAATCAGCACAATCTGGAAATAAAATCTACTCACTTAAACTTCAGCTAAATCCCAGTCGAACTGCAAAACAAAAAATGAGAGCTTCAAATATCTAGAAGTTTGAACCCATGGTCACAAGCTTCTACGAAGGTATAACAAGTAATTTCTTAGAATGAAGCGTGGCAAGACTAGATGAGTATACCTTTCAATTCACATGGAGGACACCAATGTACAAACGGCGTCTCATCAGTCAAGAAATAACAACTATTAAATGTAGACAATTGTTCTAAAATTGGTTTAGCTGTGGTAACGAAGAAGGTAGACCAAAGTACCGAGGAGTTTATCATTTGCATGAGATAATTGATAAGAAATGTGTAACGAAAAAAGTGCTCGCGGCCAGCATCTTTACAGCATATTAAATTTAAGATTGAGTATGGGGACTTGGTTCGGTTACCAATAGGATGAGAATAATTTCCCGGCTCTGGACTAGGATTGGTAAGCCCTAAAATGAAGCATCTGCTGGTCGAAAGTCGACTGAGACAAGTGATAAATAATCTTGGAGAGATTTGTGACAAAGTTGAACGGATAGATGTCCTTAACATAAGACAAGATAAGAGATTACTGAAATAAAGGTTCAGCTGAATAGGATTTAAGCCTTCCTCATCTAGAAAATCCAGGCCATATCCCAGACTGACCAAACATAGATGCCTAGGTATCAAGGGGTTGTAAAACAGAGCATGTCATTTGATTTGATATCTATATTTATTAAGGAAATGATGACCACTCAGCAGTTGAGGTTATAGAGCGCATTGATTCGAGTATCTACCGAAGTTAACCTAAGTACAGGTTTTGTTTTCACGTGTGTGCTAACAGTGTGACCTACTTGATAGCCCGAATTATTCTAACTTCTAACTTCTAACATTATTTATATTTTAAGTAAGACTAAATTCAGCCTGATTTGGCGTCTTTTAAACCCACACAAGTATTAGAATCCCCATCTATAGACCTATATGTGAGGATCATTCTCTGTGAGAACTTCGAAGCCCATCTGTTTGATGTCTTACTGTTTCCTGCTTATCCTTCAGAAAGCGCAGCTAAACTATTGTGTCATGTGTATGCATAAATCGCATCTTATTTTTAATTCCCGAATTTTGCTCGTTCCATTCATTTAACTCCGCGGCATTTTGACTTCTTGTATTATCTTAATCGCACTATCCAAGTGTAGTCCAAAATACACAGCGTGGTCCCTTTAATTTCACCAAAGATGTCTGTCATTTCCTCTTAAGACCCATGATGAGTGCTCAACATCTTTTCTATACCACTCATCCAACAATGGCAGTAAATGATCAGATGCTTGAGTTTATCTGATTAAAAGCCAATTAGATATCTTGGGCTGAGTACTCCTGCTATATTTCTTTCACATAAACAAAATTTGAGCTCAACATAGTCACTTTAAGTTAACATCGCGACTCCTATATGGGCCCTTGTTAGTTTCGATTAGAGTCGGTGACAGACCCTTGAGATTAATTTTATGTAGTCCAAAATGTCGGCTTTGCTTCTCTCTAGATTAAAGTTCTACTGTTGCCAGCTGCTGGAAAATAGATAACATGGTGAAATGAAATGGACTGACTAGAACCAGGAAAAATATTTTTCGGTTGAAATCGTAACAAGTTCAGATTACTTCGAGAGGATTGGGGGTTGTGCGTTAAAAAATGTAAGTATGAATAACACCCAGTCAAAACCGAGTAAATTGAGGTTTTGACGCAATCTTGTCATATTAATCACTCAATGAACCCCTTGCTCCTACGCCTTGCAGCCGCTCATCTGATCCTTACAAGTCTAAAGCGCTTTATTGGGGCATTTTCCAACCCCTGTACAATATTTAAGAAAGTATCAGAAACCTAGAGAGTTTGGACGACCCGTAAGTCCAAATATCAAGAGTCTACATTCCCAATAAAAGGCTGTAGATGTCTTTGTTTTGACTGGAATTTTACTCATCCTCAGCATGCTTTTACTATTTTAGTTATATTTTCATTTATTAGTCTATGACTGTATGGGGGATAAAAGACTTCTTTGTGTAAAGGTCAAGAATACCCATTATTTGAATTGTGAATCTCTCCCTCTATCTTAATTACATCCCCGTTACAATATAGCCACTTTTAACACGTCTTCATTCGACCTTGTAGAGGGCGAGATTGAACACCTGTACGTGGTGTCCTACACGAACCTGGGAGTGAAACATTCTCCCAGAGCCAAGTTCAGTCAAATTTCACAATACCGAAAAAGTTGGCCCACAAGGCAATGATTCAAATTACTCCACTACATCGATTTTTTCGCTCCCAACGAGTTTGACGCCTACCTAAGTCTCATTAAGTCTACAAGTACGACCATGTACATCCTCATTCTAATGATCACACCTCTTGTCGACCTTTTCTGACCTCAGTTGACCAACAAACCCACGCCCACGCTGATATTTACACCCGACGGAGGAAGCAAAGCGTGGCGCACAAATCTGGGAGACAGTTCTTTGAGATGGACGTGAGAGAGAGTAGGACAAGTTCACAAGATGATCCAAAGGGAGGATACAAACACGAAGGGCGTGAAATTCCGAATTTTGGCAAGGAGTTTTTACAATTTGCGCTTTGTGCGTGCCAGAACTTTGCTTGCGAGAGTGCAGCTAACACTATAAACACAAGTCAACGATGGAAGGTGTTGTGGTCCGCCTCCTGGTGGTGTTCTCTGGTATAGTTTGAGTAGCCTGGACACATATCCCACTCGAGACAGTAGATCGCTGGTTCGAATCCGGCAAAACACAACCACATTTCTCTTTTTTTTTGCATCAGATTTTAATTGCGTATGCAGCTATCTAGCTATGACAAAATTTCAAAGAAAAGTACAGAATAGACGTTTAAGCGTAAGGGAAGAGCACTCATGCCTCGGATCTTATTTGCAAGTACCACTGCGAAGTTATGCCGGCTTTTCCTTCACCCCAAGTCAACCCTCATCCGTGAATACCCACCCAGGGGAACGTCTCAAAGACTCTGAATTATCCAGAAATGCCTCCATCATCCATCAACTTTTCTCCGCGCGAAATGTAATCTGAGGCGTCACCTTCCCAAGTGGAGTAGGTGCCCAGGCTACTCAGACTATACCGCGGAACACCACCAGGAGGCGGACCACGGCCCCTTCCATCGTTGGCTTGTGTTTATAGTATCAGCTGCACTCTCGCACCTCAAGAGTTGGCACGCTCAAAGCTCAAATTGTAAAAACTCCTTGCCAAAATTCGGAATTTCACGCCCTTCGTGTTTGTATCTTTCCTTTGCATCATCTTGTGAACTTGTCCTACTCTCTCTCACGTCCATCTCAAAGAACTGTCTCCCAGATTTGTGCGCCACGCTTTGCTTCCTCCGTCGGGTGTAAATATCAGCGTGGGCGTGGGTTTGTTGGTCAACTGAGGTCAGAAAAGGTCGACAAGAGGTGTGATCATTAGAATGAGGATGTACATGGTCGTACTTGTAGACTTAATGAGACTTAGGTAGGCGTCAAACTCGTTGGGAGCGAAAAAATCGATGTAGTGGAGTAATTTGAATCATTGCCTTGTGGGCCAACTTTTTCGGTATTGTGAAATTTGACTGAACTTGGCTCTGGGAGAATGTTTCACTCCCAGGTTCGTGTAGGACACCACGTACAGGTGTTCAGTCTCGCCCTCCTTGCCTTTTATCATTTCCCCTCCAATCAACGAAATGAACACAATTAACATTTGTGTCAGATAGAAGAATCGAAAAGACCACTTAGTATGAGACATCCCTTACGCTGATATCAGGGCCAAATCTGAATATTCAATTGCCACTCTGAAGCGTTCTGTGAGTCATACAGACAACCGCTACAGGCCTGTATGTACCTATGGGGGTCACTCTCCGCATTCATAGTCTCATTTCGATACTGTCTATCATTCAAACCTCGGGACAAATCGGAGATTATATTTAGTTGCTGTAAGATAATTGAAAGAGAGCAGGTGCTGTAAAGTAGCCTAGCCCAGCTTTCTGGTGCCATTTAGAAAGTGAAAGATTTAATTGATTTATTGACAATAGAAGCCTTCTAGGCGAGATTTGAACTCAATCTTGGCCTTGCAGACTTTATGGCAAGAGCTAAAGGTACGTATTAGATACCACTGGCTAGTGTTAGGTTTTCGTCACCCCATTATTTGAAACTTAATTGGTTATGATGAATGAATTACACCACCATAAATCCGCGGAAATGTGAGATCGAAATTGGCCAGAGCTTAAGTTCCAATATTCCATTTTCTAATGACGTCTGGCAGCCGGGCCTCGTTTTGGAGGAATAAAATAATGAGGCTCGGTTGAAACTTTTTCTCCTGTATTCTGAGCAAACCCTGGCCACCTAGATATTGAAGAGCAATCGACACACCTCGCTCCCCAATCAACCAGCATAACCTTCTCTGTTGCGGTACAGATAAACTACACCTGTCCGTGGTATCTTTACGAGTGTTAAATATTCTCCTAGAGCCAAGCTCAGTAGAATTTTGGATTGTCAAAGAAGCTGGCCCACGAGGCAATGATTCAAGACTCTTTACTCCATCAATTTTTAAAAACAATCAAGATTGGTTAACCAAAGCCTCAAAAAGTCTGAAGTTCTAACTGGTGCATCCTCATTCTATGGCTATAATTCTTGTCGAATCCGTCTTTGGTTTTATCTGGCCACTAAATACACGCCTATTATACTTTGAATACTCAAAAGAGGAAATCAATTGTGGCGAGGCATATTTTCGAGATGGACGCAAGAAAATAGACAGATAAAAGAGATTATGCTAATGGTGAATACAATCTCAAAATTTGTGTAATTTTAATTTTTAGAAGGATATTTCGTATTTTACAGGCTTAGGCACGCCAGGAATTTTATATGACGCTATAGAAGACGCTTTAGAAGATGCTTTAAATATGTTCATAGCTGGGTAATGCAGTAGTATATCGTTCAAGCAATTCTTTCAAGTAGTGTTCGTAATGCTTGGAAACCTATACCACTTGGGATAGAGATTAGTTCTTCTGGTTCAGCAAGGCCTGAACACGCTGCTCACGAATATCGCGCACAAGACGATAAAAGCACACTTTGATAAATTGATTAATTGAGACGTCTTTCTGGTGGATACCCATAGACAAGGATTAAGTTCCTACTCTAAATAAGTACTCTTCAAAATAGCAATAGAAATTGCAAAAAAAAATATGAAGTGTGAGTGTTTCAACAGAAAAATAGTATATTAGGATGTATAAATTACACTGACTATGTATTGATTATATGTAACCGATCTAAAAGTTAGTGATAATAAAAATAATAAAATAAGTCTGGCGTGTATGGCAGCTGTGTCGATATTTTCAACGCAATCCTCTCGTTATTAGCCTGGTGAATAGCGGATAATGTCTATATCCAACTCCAGTTACTAATTGCATAGATTCTGTAAACCTGTGCTATGCTCCATCGTATATAGTAACAAGGCTTCAAGTCAGTAATTGCAGTCTGAATGGTGAGGCTGGGCCAATAGCAAACGCGGCGTTTCTTTGTCGCGCTTTAACTCCAAATTATCCTTGACGAGTATTTCCACGTGCTCCTACAGATTAGATACGAGGCAGTTTAGCATGACGTTCTTCTCTACGGAAGATAAATTTTATTCTAAAAACCCCAGCGCAATCAAATGATAATGGTGTACTAATCACTAGCCTTGATAAAAATGTCGCAATATTACCCGGTCACCATTTGTCGATCTGATGGTCTACTAGAGGTAAGTACCAAATCTGGAAAAGAGTTAAATCAACCAACACCGGCGCAACTGGATGATAAACCCGATGCCAAAGGAAATGTGGACTATTACCGAAGGCTCTCCGAAAACGACACGAAGGCGATTGACTGGCGAAGAAAAATTGGTGGTATGCTTATGAATATTCTTGGTGGAAAATCACATGCCGGTCTGACTCAATTCTATAGCTAGTCTAATTCGACTAACATGATGCCAGACCGAAATTACATTTTGACTGAACTTCCAGATGGCTATGTTCTGTGGGAACACATTAAGTATAATAAGAATAAAGGATTGGACGAAAGAAAGAGAGAAAAAGGCAAGCATGCTGCTGGAATGTACGACCGACAAGATGCCTATCTCTATGGGCATCCTCAGGGTCGAAAAAAAAGATATAGGAGCCCTGCTGATTTCTTTCCACACCTGTTATGGCTAGGTACCGATAGAGATGGAGATTCGGCGAACTGTTCATGCAAGATTTGCTCACCAGACGGTGATGAGGAAGTTGTCGAAGAGATACAGATACAACCCGTCGAGATACCAGTGCGTAAAGAAATTAAAGCTGCTCCGGCGGCTCCAGTAACAACTACCGTTCCTTTCTCGGCTACACCCTCAGCTACTCCATCGACAAACTCATCGGGATATATGTCCCGGTACACTTCTACTCCAACACCTACTATGCCCTCGAAAATAGCGTCAAAACCGGTTATTCAGCTCCCCACAAAAATTAAATCAAAAGAGCAACTTGCAGATAGTGAACCAACGCCTATGAATAAGTTTATATATCGACCGGGTGAGTTAGTTTGGTTTAACAATGGAGCAAACTGGCGGCTTGGTGTTATATCGAAAAGAAATTTGAAGAATAATCAGGTACCACGATATCTAATCCAGCCACTTTCCAATCCCGAACAACAGCAGCCATTACAGATCAAAGAACAAGATTACCTACGGCCTTGGCTTGCTTGGAGCGTTCCGGAAACAACTAATCCTGACCTCAAGAATTTACATTTTGAACAAGTTTCATGGGATCGTGTCGTCCGCGGTGAATTTGACAACGGCCGGAATACAGATTATGTCGTGGATGGTAGTATTCTTGCGGCTAAATCCATTGATGCAAGTTATTCTCTATTTGATCGTATTGAGAATGCACTTGTGAGTAATGGTGATATTGCTTACAACGGCATGTTTCTTGGGGCTGAAAAAGTATGGGTCGGAGAACCGGTACGACTTTCTGGATACGGATCCAACATCGTAATCTTGATTATCGATCGGATGGTCGAGCGGCCAGGACTTTCATCAAGTGTTACATTCACCGGTGACATATACAAACTAGTAGAGATGCCCACACCACATAACCGTACCGCTGATTGGCCCAAGTATTCACACAATTTACCACCCCGTATGATAACAGACATTGCATTTCGAAATGAGGTGGCGGCAAAAAAGGGGATCTGGTACGAATGGCAACTATTGGCTACGCCAGCCACTAAACAGTTGAAGGATATAAAAGGACGTTGGTATGAGACACAAACGCTTCTTCCAATCCTTAAAACTCCGCACAAATATCAAGCAGATCTATTGCTAGGACAAACTAGTGATGCAGGCGAATGGATGAATGGGCGTAAAGATAATAACAACGTTCAAGAACAGCGTCGTAAGAATCGGCGTGATACGCTGGGCCGTGCTGTACCTGCCGATTTTAAGGTTAGTCGTGGCCTTGACGGTCCACCCGAAGATGATCAGTTTCCCGATGAGCATACTATGCCGCTCGGTGGGGACTTTGATAACCTTGATCATTTCATGGACCTCGAACAGGCCTTTTACGGGTCAGGCTTATAATACGGACCTGTTCAGTAGAATTAATTGGAAGAGGAGATTTCAACGTTCACTATGTAGACGGCACTGAAGGGTGCAATTGCCCATATTGTGCATGTAGTAATGCGGGCGGACGGAGGCACGTCTAATGATATCTGACGGTGGTAGTACAATTTACGATAATGGAGGGGCGCAAGATAGCGAACAATACTTACTGCGTGTGCTCACTTGAAAATGATGATTAGAATCTAATTCATATTCACTACCAGCATACATTTATTTGACCATTTTATCGAATTAATCATTTACAATGAAGCTTCCTTGGTAGTGCCAATTTATTCTAGAGTTTGTGGCTCACGGGATAAAAGTCGGGTTTGATAGTGATTCCAGCAGGCATTTTTTAAACCATAAAATCATTGGGGGAAAAAAGTACAATGAGTATTCCCAACGACGCCATTACACCGTGCTACGCCACAACAGCCATCATCCCGCGGCCTCAAGTTATGTACAGTCGGTACCTTACACCGGAAGAGAAGATGCAGCCCCATACCTCCCGACCCAATCTTGTTGGGAGAATGAAATAGTGCAGGGTTGGGGATAAACCATCACCGTACCCTGCAAAGAGAAAGAAATTTAAATCGAGTAGAATATTGCGACTTATCGCTTTGGTTCCCGGAATTCATTGGCGTTTTCAGCTTCTTGTTTAGCTTTTTCGGCTTCAGCCTCTTTCTCCTTTTGTTCTCGCTCTTTGTCGGCCTTTTCTTTTTCGATTCGTAAGTTTTCTGTTTCCTGCCACTCAGTCACCCTTCGCTTGGCGTCCTCTAGCTCTCTGCGCTCTCGGTCTTCTCTCTCACGGTTGATACGGTCCTGTTCACGTGCATCATTTTCAGCGGCCCGCTTTCGATCTTCTTCTTCTTTTATGGCTATTAATCGCTTTTGTTCATCTACAGGTAAGGTAGAAAATGCAGCTGTGTTTGCGTCCCATTTATCCACACACTCTCGCTTCCAGTTGCATTCCTCAACCTCACCATAAGCTGGATGGTTGTGACGGGGGTGGGTCTTTGGCCAGCCGGATGCATGGTAGTGATGTTTCACTAGAGCAGTTTTCGCTTCGTGGGTACCAGAATCAGAATGACCTTGACCTGCGGCAAATGCTTCAACTGTCAACACAAGAACTCCACCAACGAGCTTAGTTTCTATCATGTCGTGAAACATATCCCATTGAATGTTTTGCCCGGTTCTTTTCCGCATGTCAGCTATAATAGCATTTGTGAAAGCCGATGGTCCGGTTCCAGTGATGACTTCGTCGAAATCTAGTATCAGTTCTGATATTGGGACCTTTTGCTTTCTGGAAAGACCGTTAAGCCAGAGTATGATATTGTCTATTAAATGCATCATGACAGGCAGGTGTGGCTTGCAAACAAAAGTCCACTGACAGAATGATTTAGACTTGGGACCAAGAATAGGGTGATCTGAGTAATGTGGCATATCAATCTCGACTCCGACAATCATATCAATATCTTTTTCGTTCCATCGTTCAGGTATGAAACGGTCGATTGGGCGCAGTGCTTCAACATCAACATCAGCATAAACTCCTCCTTCGACATACATGATGAGGTAGCGTAAGAGATCGGCTTTAATTATTTTAGCTTGGAGGGTACGATAAGTATGAACAATATCTTGTCGATTTAGGCCAGCCGGTCCAAAGTGTTGCTCCACATAATCCATATCGTTTCCATCGGTGAGCATTTCATATCGATAACCTGGATTTTTGGCCGTCCAGCTGCGGGCTCTAACTAACTCCTTCTCCTCCAACTGCAGCACATCAATTTTCCAGGATTGCCATATCTTTCGTGGAAACTTGGTGCCAGAAACGGCGAAGGGGTTGTATTGCCATTCGCGTCGAATCACTTCCCCTACGCGTAGAGATGGACCAAATGAGTGAATAGTTGTAATAATTAAAAGTAATAGAATGCAGGCAAGGTAAACTGGAGGAAAGCGTCGGACTGGCAGAGTCCGACGAATACATTTGAATAGAGACCCACTGTATTGGGCGACGGTGGCCAGCATTTCGTTAACTTGAATGGTAGGCCAAGAAAAAGGTCGAAGGGAACGAAATGAAGTAACGACGAGCTACAGATGTATAGATTTCAAACAATCGAGATTATAGAGGAAGAACGGTGGAGTGTGAAGATCCCCCAAATGCTCGGGGCAAGAATTTTGGCAAACCCAGCATTAGTATCAGCTTGATCAATTGGTCCTAGCGGGACGATCATGCAGCATGGGGGAGGAGGACTGTGAATGGTGAGTGGGTGGGTAGGTGTATAGGGTAGGGTAGGGACAGGGGCGAGGGCGGGGGTGTAAGATACACACCTAATCAAAGGAGACTGGATCTTATGATGGCATTCGCACAACTACTAACGTGTCAAGATGATGCCAGACCCGGCACGTAGCATTTGAATGTGTCCGGCTGGGAAAGGAGGATGAGTTGGGAAGAGCAGTCTCCTTGATGCATACGCAATTGCACTGTGAGGACTCCGAGGTCGAGCAAATTTGCGACTACGGTCGACCACTACTCGCCCTGCCCTCCACCAGCAACGCAGAGCAGGACGAAGCGCCGTAGTCGAGGGTGGGCCGAGTAAAAGTGGATGGGTAGACGCATGTACGTACAATCTTTCGGATGTGAAAATTAGATGCCACTGCTCTCACATCATGTTAAAAAAGTCTGCACCCATAGTGACCTTCCCAGTTCCTCGCGACATAACCTGCCATTACAGTTCAGCACAGCCTTCGTCATGCCTCCAACACGACGGTAGGGCTACAGCGACCCTGACTCTCGTTGGTTGACGGAGATGGAGAGATGTCCCGATGGCTTCCGCATTTCAAGCCAATGATTCAATGTCGACAATGCCAATAATTGCCAATCATGATGGCTTAACAACCGTTTTCCCTTGGCCCAAACAGCAGCAGTCCTCTACTCAAGTGCCAGCAAGGGAGGTCTCCTTGAAGATGGGCAGGGCACGCCAACAACCAATGCCTTAACTATGCGCATGGGGTGGAACCTGATCTCCAACAGGGAAAGAAAAGAGTGGGAATCCTGAGTAGGGGGCGCATAGTGATGATCAGGCAGCCGTGGGGCCAGCTCACCACTAAGTAGGGGGCGAACAGGGAACTAATTGTCAGCCTAGCTCATAGCTTCCCCTACAAGTTTGCCAGGCTAGTGCACACTAAAACCTGGGGCGAGATATGTGTGTCCCTATAGCGGTAAGGTCCGCGCAGTTAGCCACAGCACTTATTGTCGAAGCGAGAATCGGCATGTTTGGAGTGGTTTTAGCTACTACAAGGGTGCTCGTAGTCGTCACTGCCAACGAGAGATCAGATAATTGATACAGGCAAGGATATTTCTATGTTTGTGAAAATACTACTGTAACCGGCGATGCAATCTTTGACTCAGCTGTCATTTCGAAGAAGCTTTACCTATCCTCCATCGCACCTTCCCCAAACACTTCTACCCGTCTCTCCCGTGCTTTAGACTGCGAGGGTGAAAATGCTCGACTACAACTGTTCATCTCCATCCCACCTTCTCTCTTCCAAGTATCCATTAATTCTTAATCCTATCAGTCTGGCCCACATAGTCAGCCGCAATACCTTTTCTTTGTCCAATAGCTTCTTCTGATACGAATCGCCTCCGCTACTCGTTCCCCATAATTAACCCTGCACTTGGCCGGGGTTACCGTGCGGAAAAGTTATCAGAGCTGGGCTATTTCGTAACATTGGCCCTCACCTCTGTCCCTTGCCCCAGTTCACGCACGCTTCATACCTTTCACCACGACTTGACCTCTCCGATATTATTTCGTTGCCATCCTCGCCATCTTCGCTCCTCGTCCTAACAATCTTATTCCCCACCAACCACACCAACTTACCATCCTATTTCCACCATAGTGGTCACAACTGCTTTATCTTCCTCATCAAATAGTTATTCATCTACCTTTCACCCGCCAGTCCGCATAATCGCTGGCTTGGCGGTATCCACCGATCTCATCGCCCGCCCTCCGGTGGGTGAACCACAAAATCTAGTCTATTACAGCGACCAGCTATCTCTCGACAGAAGCAGCCTTTCTCGCCTGCCTTAGCTGCGTGTTCATCGCTCCCGAAAAGATTGTAAAATTAAGGGCCGGTCCTCTTTCTCCCTCTCAGCATGCCTCACTCGACTTACAATGACGATACTTTAGAAAGTGGGTATCAGGTGGAAAGAAAACCTCTGGTACTCCCCGAGACATATCGTTTCAGGACAAGGTGGCAGAAGAATTTATACTCGTTATGGGAACTAGTTCGACCTACCATATTTACACCAGCTAAAGACAACAACGAGGCGCCATTCTTGCGACCAACGGCCTACTTGGATGGTTTAAGAGGATTCGCTGCACTCATTGTATACTGGGGTCATCACCAACTCTGGGCGCGTGATGTTATCGGAGCTGGCGCTATACTGGAGAATGCATGGGGATATGAAAACCGATGGTACTTTGTCTGCCTTCCGGGTATACGCCTCTTTTTTTCAGGAGGCCATCTAGCCGTAACCGTCTTCTTTGTTATGTCGGGATATGTACTTTCAGCGAAACCCCTTAACCTTATACAAAATGCCGATTACATTAAATTACAAGACAACCTTGGCTCTGCGCTCTTCAGGCGCTGGCTACGCCTATATATTCCGGTTATCTGTACTACGTTTATTTACATGACTTCCTGGCACCTTTTTGGTATTTGGACAGCTACACCAGATCATAAAAACACCTATTCTGAAGAACTGTGGAATTATTATATTGAATTTAAAAACTTTAGTTTTGTCTTTCGTGGGGGTGGAAACGACTGGTTTACTTACAATTTTCATGCCTGGTCTATACCGGTAGAATTTCGTGGATCAATAATCATTTATACGGCACTGGCTGCCTTTTCACGCTGTACTCGTAACGCCCGACTTTTATGCATCCTTGCACTCATATACTACTTTATGTACATCGCTGATGGTGCTCACTACGCCATGTTCATGACGGGTTTGCTTTTATGTGATCTCGACTTGCTCGCCCAGAAGGGTAATCTTCCAAACTTTTTCCATCGATTCGCCTCGCACAAAAAGGCTATCTTTTACACTCTCTTTGCTATCGGTATCTATCTTGGTGGGGTACCTAGCAATAAGCAGGATATACAACTTCTACACGACTCTCCAGGCTGGCGCGCCCTTGCACATCTAAAACCACAAGCCGTCTTTGATTTCAAATGGTTCTATCTCTATTGGGCATCTCTATTTATTGTCTCCTCGATTCCGAGGATACCAACACTTAAGCGCTTCTTTGAATGCCGATTTTGCCAGTACCTTGGTCGTATTTCCTTTGCATTCTACCTGGTGCACGGTCCGGTTCTTTGGATCCTTGGTGATCGACTGTACGTGGCAGCTGGTTGGGCACGAGAGATTCACGGTGGAACACTGCCTGGGTGGATCAATCTCTTCCCCATGAGCAAAGCCGGGCCTCTTGGTCTTGAATTCAGCTTCCTTGTGCCGCACCTTATCATCCTACCCGTAACACTATGGTGTGGCGAGATTGCTACTCGCCTTTTTGACGAACCGAGCGTTCGATTCTCACAATGGCTCTATCGTTTGACTACTACAACATAGCGACAAATCGAAACAGTCGTTTGCTTTGAAAGGGCTTGTAATTTATTCGGAGACTGGTGTTTATGGCTCTGGAACGGAGGGAATCGGGGCTTTGCATCTTGTCATGGCGTTAAATGTTCAGCCGTTGAAGGCAAGGCTCCCTAAGTGTAATCTCATGACCATGCTCGGATTTGCCGAACGATACTTCACACTGTGAATTAAGTAATATTTATTCCTAATTCTGGAGCAATCGTGCACAAATCTAGATTGATCCCTCTTCCATTGTGAAATGTTACTTGTAATCTTCTATAACTAACCGTTTAATCCCGGCAATTTTCTCATTTTTTATTTAAAATTTAGCCGCCCAGAGTCGTTTCTCGCAAATTAGCCTGTGGACGATCTATGTTACGGTGTGGATGATTGCTAGTGCAAGCGGAATGGATTAGACTCAGGTGAGACGCCAAGGCACTCTTGGGCGACTGGTGATGTCGCTTGTATGGATGGTGGTAGATCAAATTTCAGCGAAGTGCTGCCAGCAGCTGGTCTATGTGTTTGCATGGGGACAAAGGTGTGCAAACCAGCCGTAATGTAGATCATAGACTGATGCTATCAGCTCATCGGATACCCGGAAGTTTGATGCAGCCGGCACACACATCCGGTGCTGTGTCCTGAACGACCTTGTACCATGTTTGTCCTACATGGCTACGTCAACGCAAGCATGACGGAGTATGTTTGTGGAGTTGGAGAGTAGCGAGTGACTGTGTCTCCAGATGCTTAGATTACGTGCGCCCATGTAATCATGATTGATTTTGGCCTCTCATTGAATAAGGTATGGAATCTGTTGGTCCTCATGACGAAGCAAACATGCTGTCACGATATGGGATAAAGCGCGTCGCATAACTCCTGTAGATTTCCTACTACATCACACACTTCTGGGATCTTCTGGCCCTTTGGACTCTGCTCTCCGTACACGGGAACAAAGTCATCCTTTGCGTGTGTGGCTGGCGTGAGGTTTCGAGGGAAACGCTGGGTGCGAGGTTCTGACACGAGCATATTGCTAGCCGGGCGCCGAGACTTTTTGCATCAGATTTTAATTGCGTATGCAGCTAACAAGCTATGACACAATATCAAACAAAACTATGTAATAGATGAATCAATGTACAAGAGCACTCATGCCTCGGCTTCCATTTGCAAGTACCACTGCGAAGTTATGCCGGCTTTTTGTTCACACCAAGTCAACCCTCATCCGTGAATACCCACCCAGGGGAACGTCTCAAAGACTCTGAATTATCCAGAAATGCCTCCATCATCCATCAACTTTTCTCCGCGCGAAATGTAATCTGAGGCGTCACCTTCCCAAGTGGAGTAGGTGCCCAGGCTACTCAGACTATACCGCGGAACACCACCAGGAGGCGGACCACGGCCCCTTCCATCGTTGGCTTGTGTTTATAGTATCAGCTGCACTCTCGCACCTCAAGAGTTGGCACGCTCAAAGCTCAAATTGTAAAAACTCCTTGCCAAAATTCGGAATTTCACGCCCTTCGAGGTTATATCCTTCCTTTGCATCATCTTGTGAACTTGTCCTACTCTCTCTCACGTCCATTCCAAAGAACTGTCTCCCAGATTTGTGCACCACGCTTTGCTTCCTCCGTCGGGTATAAATATCAGCGTGGGCGTGTATTTGGTGGTCAACTGAGGCCAGAGAAAGTCGACAAGAGGTGTGATCAATAGGATGAGGATATACTTGATCGTACTTGTAGAATTAAGTATAGGTCGGACTCTTTGGGAGTGAAAAATTGATGTGGTGGAGTAATTTGAATCATTGCCATGTGGGCCAACTTCTTTGATATAGCGAAATTTGACTGGATCTGGCTCTGGGAGAATACTTCACTCCTAGGTTCGTAGAAGGCACCGCGTACAGGTGTTCCGTCCTACCCTCTGGACGCCGCGACTTGCTTGTAGCGGGGAGGATGGCTTCCATACAACACCTCGTCCCGCTCGCGGCTCGGGAAGCATTAGGTTTGTGTGAACGTGGCAGAAAATGTTGGCAGGGGTCACGGGTGACCAGCGCAATATTTCCGTGCTCCACATTCAGCTTCTAGACAGATAGGTAGGCTCTTGCAGTCAGTCACCGGCTCGCCACACGACTCGTCGAAGCTAGCAGCAAGAGGACAAACATGCCTCTCCTGGAAACTCCTCAAAACACTGGTCGCACGTCGTGGCAATGCCGTTGGAAACATGCGGAGCAGTCAAGGTGAGCTGATCATACTCTGGCAAACACGTATCAATGCGCTCACAACGGGCACTTCGACACCCCTAGAAGAGCTGATGGGCATTAGTCTCGAAGATTCGATGCGTCATGGGATCTGATTATCGCGGCCTTGCATGTTGTGGCACACAACGCACGCGATGCTCGGATTCAGAGGACAGTTGGTGAGGCAGGGCCTGCATTCGTGTCGGCTGCGTCCACTGGAGCTGCTTTCTTCGCCTTCACCCGACTGTGCATGTGTTGATTGGAAGGTACTAGCCGAGATAGGGTCGGATGGTGCAGTGGTACACCATTCGGCCCGTTCTCCCAAGTAGAGTCTGGGTAGCTCGAACACCTACCCCATTTGAAGGAGGAGAAAGTTGATTCGAATCCATTAAAATCCACACACCTCTCTCTCTCTCTCTCTCGGTGATGTTGTATTTGTGGGATGATGAAAGCACACTTGGATAAACATAGCATCTTCACACTTTTCCCTGTGGTGGGTACGCACCGAATAGGTTGTACGCCGTAAGGGTTGACCTTGAGTGGTACCTGCAAATGAAATCTGAATGTGAGCGGTCTAAACGTCAAGCTGAGTCATCCTACTTAAAGTACACATCTTCCGACAAAAACCTGCATGGGCCTCAGGGCGCCAAATCAGGTAAAATTGAATTATCTATTTATTAGCCATGATAACCACGTGATACTCTTCGTGCACGGACCTTTGTACAGAAATAATTTTTTTGATGTCTTACTGAGTCTAAGACAATGAAGTACCACTAAAACTATCTAAACAGTTTTGAGGTTAATAGTAAATTTGGAGATTGTTGTGCTTAACATTTGCCAATAGGGACTTTTGTATATATCTGCTGCCCAGTAGACTTAAAGGTAAGACCTTGCTATATACAATTTTCCTAATACAACAGGATGCTGGCCGCAGAGACGGGAAATCCCCAACCGTCTCGAGGTACGAAGGGCTATTAGTGCTCAATCCAAGCGGGTCTGAGTGGCTAGACTGATCTTGACGACACGCAGGTGTTGAATCACCAGTCTAACGGTATGACGCGCTGCCGACGTCCCGCCATCGACAATCGCACGCACAAGCCTTTGGCACCTTTATCCGCTCCCCCATGACAACGTAGGTTGTTGTTAGACACCTCCACTTCGTCCCCGCCGTGCAATTTATCCGCTCTTGTCCACAATGATATGAGGTAATCCAGCGGCTTGATACCCTCACAGTAACGTGTGTGTGTGTGAATAAAGTTACGCCTGTAGATGGCTGATTGTTGATATCAGTAAAAAGTGCTTCGCACTCTACTACATGGCGAAAGATGACATGGACAGAAAGACGCCGGCATGTCTCGGCCCAATCCACGGCTGGCTGGGAGGGACGAAAATGCTACGACAACTTCGCCGTCGTCCTTGCGAATGACAACCGGGGCACGAGTGCTCTACATTTCAATTGAGTCGTCTGTTCTGTACCTCGCCTCTGATATCGCGTCGTGGCTAGCTAGCAGCGTGCGCAATCAGAATCATTCCACCAATCATAACCTGGCTATTCCTCTTGGTGCAGCAGTCCACGCCAACATCCTTATGGAGCACCGTTGCATACTGTTTGTGCACGCACACAAGGACTATCCTCTGCTATTCCCAGATCCTATCCATTTCCCGGCTTTCTTCCACACAATCAACCCCGTTACCATCAAGCCGTTTCATACTTGGATACGAGCGCTAAGTTCCGGGAGTCGAGCGGGAAGAGAGATTTACTAATTGCTCATCTGCAGTGCTCAGACCACGATCTATTTGTCAGGAACCGGTTGATGGCAATGAATTTGTGCCCGCGATATTTTCCATGCTAAATTCCAGACTCAACGCTTCTCTCAGCCCAGGTATCTGGACGCGGCCCTTGAAGCCGACATATCCACTACCTGATCGGTCCGTGTCCCTGGTGGCACCAGAAACTCGGCCTCGGAAAAAATATATATCCACATGGCATTTGTAGCCTTTGAAACAAGGCGCGAATAATTGATCGGCCCGTAAGACACGTGGTCTAGTATGCGCGGCTTGGTAGGGAGGCGGAATGCATAGGGAGCTCGGGTGCCGGCGTCAGGGTGGGGGCCGAGTGCAACTAGGGGCATGAGACTAGCGTCGACCTATGAAATTCGTTATCATTAGTGTGGTCGGCCGATCTCGGCTGGGATGCCCAGCCTAGTGCTCCGCCGCTTCACCGGCCTACTGAGCTTACCACCGGCACGCGTGACGCAGACCGAAATCATGGTGAGACGAGCCAGCAGCTTCTATGATGCTGAGGAAGGGGAATCCATTCAGCATGAAGCCTCGGGTCTGTCGGAGTCGGGAAGAGGCAACAGCGGCGTTCCCATTGGTCTGAGCTGCTAAATTAAGGTGGATGCCGTGGAAAACGAAGATCTACGCTCCCCCTGCCGCCGTGTCATTTAGGGCTTCCACGGCCAGAGTGGGGAGGCGGTGCTTTTGCTTTTAGAGCGGATCACTGAGGATCAGGAGTGCGCCGACGGCAAAGATTCGCCACCTCGTTCCGGGCTCGAGGCGACGGAGCGCGTGGGGGAAAAGGGGCATAGGAAATGGTCATTCCTGCCGTCTCCATGCCACGTCTAGGGAATCGAAGCCACGTCTCCGCCCGCCCTTGTATCCTGGACACCACCTCTATTCCTGGCTCTCGATGGCGCTGTTGCTTGGCCGTGAGGCTCAGCAGCTTCCGAGGTCTCGTTAGCATCTCGGCTTCTTTTGGCCAGCT